TATTACATTTATTAAATGAATTTTGACTTCTTGAATTCAAAAATTTTGTTCAAAATTTGAGTAACACCATTTAGTCTAGGCTACTGCAAATGAGAAATGACCGATTGTGGTAAACAACTAATCTGCATCATCTGCTCCAATCATCACCATTCACTCAAAGTGTCTTGCCCAAGAAAACAACAACAACATGTTTATCTGAGCCAAGATAAAACGGACCGACTTGCTTCAACATTTACCAACCAAGCTGTGGCCCAGAGGTGAACTCACCCATCCACCAGCCTAAACATCAGCATCAGGTCGAAATCCCACTCCAACTGCTGCGTACTGCTGTTGTGTCCTTTGGCAAGACACTTCACCCACCTAACAGTTGCACAATGTCACTTTTTTGTGGAGGAGAGTCCGCAGCCTGTTTTTTTCCTCCTTGGAGATGCATTTCTTTGCCTAGAATGTTTCACAATATGGCATTAAACCCGTCTGTCTTCATGCTTCCAGCCCGAGTTACAGGTCAGGTCTGTTAGAAAGGCAAGCCCGCTCGCAGTAAGAATGTCGAATTTTTGGGGATTTTTGAGCAACACAAACTTGACTGAATAAAAGTAAAATAGATGCGTTTAATGCCACACTGCGGGACATTCCAGGCAAAACAGCGCGCGTGTTTTCATTAGCAACAGAGCCACGGCCGCAGAATAAAAAGCGCTAGGCGAGCGGCTGTCACGGGCATACTCTGAATTCCAGGTTGATGAAATAACCGATAAAAAAAATATGGAAATGTAATGGAAGATTCAAAACAAGCCAAATGAATAGGCCTGTGTCTTCCTTCCAGGGCTGTTTTTGTCATTTAGCGTTAGCCTCGGTAAAGCTACACACATGCTAGCAATTTTCTCCACGCGGCTAGCCAGTTAGCGAGGTAATCTGCTGCCACTTTGATTCTATTTAAAACTTCTTACACTTTTTAAATATAGATAGTGTTGGGAAGGTGACTTTTAAAATGTATTCCCCTACAGATTACAGATTACATACCCCAAAATGTAGTTTGTAAGGGAATCTATATGAGACACTGCTGCCTTCAATTATGTCCACCTACTGTTAAGTGTTATATTGTTTAGTCCTGGTTTAGTCCTGGTTTAGTCCTGGTTTAGTCCTGGTTTAGTCCTGGTTTTAGTCCTGGTTTTAGTCCTGGTTTTAGTCCTGGTTTTAGTCCTGGTTTAGCCCAAAATGTGAAAACAGGAAAATACTGCCCTGTAATCCATTTATTTCAGCAAAGTAACTGTAATCCAATTACCACTCATTGAAACAGTAACTGTAACCGAATACAGTTACTCATAATTTGTACTCTGATTACGTAATCCCGGTACATGTAATCTGTTACTCCCCAACACTGAATACAGACGTTATCTCGAGTTTAAAAATACCACATTGTGAAGTAGTTCATATTACCACTAATACTAGACAACAATATTAGACTTTTTTATGTTTAGTTAGGCTAAGGAATGATTTTTAATATTTTTTTTGCTATCTATGTTGTTGTCATTTTTGTATCTTTAGCAATGTATCAACTCTTATTTTTAGAAATATGATTCACTGTGGTTATAGATCAAACTACTGCGTAAAATGAATACAGGCTATAAAAATACTGCGTGCTTTCTTTGAATCTGAATGTTTGTTTAAATGTTAGTTTGAGTTTTGACCCTCTGAAGCAGCTGTAGTTGCTGTTGTGAACTTTGACCCTTTAAACCAATTGTGTGTGTTTGCTTATTCCAGAAGGCGAGTCTAGAGTTTACAGGAAAAGTATGTAGTTTGCGCTGTTAACGTTTAAAAAGTACAACAATCATAATTGAACATGGGTTTAGTCTTAAAGGTCATTGCGTAACTTTTGTAGTGGAAAATCCGACAAATACTTTTTCCTGTGGAGATGTTATTGCTTTGTCTGGAATGTTTCACAGTATAGTATAAAACCTTTCTATCTTTGTGGAGACCAAACCAGACCAAGTTACATGTCAGATCTGTGGAGAGGCGACCCCGCTCACAGTCAGAATACTTGTTTTTCTAGGTACTTTTGAGCTATAAAACCACCTGTAATTAAATAAATGTAAAGTAGAACATTCCAGGCAGAGCAATGACATATCTATAAAAACAAGCAGGTGATGGATCCTGAACTAAAAAGTTACACAGTGCAACTTTAACCTGCAGATAGAGGACACATCCAAGTTTGTCTCATTCTCAGTATATGGACAAAATGTCTCATGTGAATGCTCAGAACCTCCAGAATTCCCTCCCTGAGCTGAAGAGGCTGCACTAGCACTGATTCAGGACTGACTGGAGGTGCTGGGGTTTAGGTAGTGACCATTCTGATCGTTTTAGGTTTAAGCCAACTGGAATAAATCAGCATTACAAGTGTTATCAGTAAAAACTTGATTTGGAGATGTTTACCTCATATCTTTGGACACAGATATATTGTATGTCATGTTTAGCTCATTTAAAATCAAAATCTTACAAACAGGTCCTTTAAATAAATAAAAATGTAGATTGTAATAAAAACAGCCTATTTTCTTGATTTCATAACATTATAGATCACTACTGGTTCCTACTCTACTCTAAGGCACTCCAATCTGGTCTAAACAAACAAGCACATTCGTAAGAGTTTGTAATATGACTACACAATTTTGGAGAAAAAAAAAATCAAATTGTGATTTACTGACAAGTAGAGATGTAACAATAACCGAAATATTGTGATATCCTATCGTCAAAGTTCTCACAATATTATCGTGGACCATCACAATATATCGAACTACAAGTGTCTTTGCTTAAATGAAGAGTTATGGTGCAGCAAAAAGACAAACAAAGACATAGACCATGATCCTTTGCTCCATTTCAGTGTAGACTACAAGAAGAAATAACAGTTCTAAACACTTTTAAGTCTTAGTTCTTTGGGTTAAGTCTTGTCAAGGCATTTTAAGAGGAAAAAGTAGCATATTAACAGATTTGTCTGTAAGTCACCACAAAATATCGAAAATATCGTACCGAGAGATTTGGATATTGTTACATCACTAATTGTGAGCCTCCCCACCATATCGTGAGCTTTCCCACGATATCGCAATAAATATCATACCATGAGGTTCATACCGTGAAAATATCGTATCATGAGACTTGGATATTGTTACACTCGTACTGACAAGTATTGCCATTGTGATTTCATTTGCGATATATAGTTAAAAAGTAGGATTCAGACTGCATAATGTGAAAAACTCCAGGATGGTGTCGGCACAATACTAAAATTTGAATTTCGATTTTAAGGAATAGACCTAATACTCAATACAGAGTCCAGTACCACAAAGATACACCGTTTCTTTAGACAACAGAATGTGATTTTCAACATTAAATAGTAGTACTTTCTTTTCTTTTCCCATGTGGCCTTATAAGTGCGTGCTCATATGAGTAAATACTGGTAATACTGGTTTTAGTAATGATTTAGTATCTTATTTTCACAACCCTTTTCCAGGAGCAGTAAGATTTGAGAGATGACTAAAATATAAACTGAAACTAACAAAACATGGATTAGTTTTTTAATAAAGTTCATTACATTTAATCTGCAGACTTAGAAAATGTCCGACAGAGATACTAGTGCCATTCATCAGTTATATGGGTGACTTCTAACGCACAAGAGCAATATTGTATTCAGCTAATCCATAGTTATATAGGGATAAACCAGATGAAAGTGAAAGTAAAAACAAAACCGCGCCTTTATTTCTAGTAGTAGCCTCGCCACAGTAATTTCCCCAAATGCTGGTTTTTGACAGAGACACGTGAACTGCTTGTCTCCAAATGTTCGGATGGGCAAACACTGGATATGCTGACAACGGAGAGATGTGTGCATGGTGTAAACAACGTGGGCAGAGGACTTATGACTATGACTATTACTACTATTATTACCAGTACAAATATGAGCAGCTAATACTCAAAAGGTCCAGTTGATAAGACAGAAATGAACCTTTCTTTAGAATGATCTTGAGCTGTATCAGAATAAGTATAAGAGCACATAAACTAGTATACACCCATGGAACACTGTGGAACCTACCTGGACCACTGAGGGAGTGCACAGATAAAAGACCACATGGAAATAGAAAAGAAAGTACTACCATTTTTTGTTTTAGTTGGTTCCACTAATTCCAGACGTTTGAGGTTTAATTTAATATGCTAAGTTATAGTGATTTCACAGTATGTAACTCATGCCGTCTGAGAAAATGTTATGCCACTTGTGGTTGTGGAAAGACTCCGTAATTACAGAGATATTAACCATAAACCAGGTCAACACTTTTGCATTTGTACTGCAGGCCTCCCCCTCAGCTGTAAAATACGGGCTGTTTAAAACGTTCTGACATCCACCTATGGCATAACACAGAGCAGAGACACTTCAGCCTCACATCTGACTCCTCTTCTGCGCTCCAGGTTCATGTTAAATGTGGGAGAGCTGAGGGACAGCGGTTCTCAGGACAGAGTTACTCATTACACACACACACACACACACATACACCCACGCGCACAAAACACACACCCACGCACATGCACAAGCACACACACACACACACACACACACACGTCAGCAGCCCACACAGCGTAATTTAACATTACTAAGATGCCAAAATAGTCTACAACATTATTTATATGTGGTTGGTAAACATGCATTTGTCACGTTGTAATGGGGGCATTTTTTACAACAATTAAAGTTTTATAAACTTTGTCAAGTCTGACCTACGTCACTTCCTGTCCTTTCATCGCAGGCCGAAGGGCCGCAGCCATAACCCACCAAAACACACACTTTTATAATGCATGTAATTACGTGTCATGATAATGCCCTACAAGTTTAATAAATGCACCCAAACAAACTGCAGTGTGCGGTTCTGACCCGGCCTGTCCCCCGCTGGCCCCCGGAGCTCTCTGTGCGGAGCTCCGGGGCTCTGACACGGAGCTGAAAGTTTGTGACAGCGGAAAAAGGGCGCACTTACCCCGCTCGGCCGCAGACTTGTTGGCCTCCTCATCGCGGCTCACTTGGGTGATGACTGAGGACGGATTGTCCATCACATCCAGCTCTGGCCCGCCGCGCTCACCTCACACGGAAAAGTTACGCAGAGTTCGCCGAGTCGCAGCTGCATGAACCAACTTTCCATGAACCGGAGGCGCAGCGCTCACCGTAACATCGCCAAAAGCGCTTTACCGCGATGCCATTCCGCCAAAAGCCGCTCTCCGCTCTCGTACCGACCGAGTCTAGGCTGTAGAAAACATTTGTCAAAGAGTTGGCAACTTTGATTCAATATGGTGCTCAACTCCGCTCACGATTTCAAGATACAAACATGGCGGTTTCAAGGCTCCCCCTGTACCTTAAAGCGGCGCATCAGGACCGGGCTGCGCGCACTCCCTCTGCGCGCACACAGACATTGGAGGACGGCCCCTAAAAGTCTAAAAAACTAAGTTGCCCAAACTTTAGCTCAGCTAACATATTAGCTACACTCAAGTTTTCCAGATCACAACGTTACACGCGCGTCATGGCCCGCGACTGTGCCGTCAGTGCTTCTGAATCACTTTTACGCACCGTATTTCAAAGCTCTACTGGGCTCTGCGATCATCAGACTAAACTTTTCATTGTCTCCACCGCTAATTAGGCTTCTAAATACGACATTACATTTCGTCACTGCAAAATGCACGCTGTCTGTCTAAACAAACTTGCAGCATTAAAAAGCCTGGTAGTCTGGTTCTTATTCTGCATGCGCCGCCGAACCACTGGCGATGGTGTGGAGTTGTCCAGGACTTCAGTGACATGAGCCCCGGAGCCCGCACCGCAGAAAAGCACGAGAGGAACGCCCAGTGCGGGGCCCTTGAAACGGACCAGACTAGGGACCGTCACTAAAGGCCAGTCCCAGGAGCAAACGGAGACAGCGCTGATGATAGTCCATTCAACTGTATCTAGTCATGTTAAAATCATTGAGAAAAATGAGTCAGTTTTACCAAGTTTATTACATACTATCTCATAAAAACATGTTGAACTTTTTCCACATATAAACACAGCAAATAGGTACATTTACAAATCTTCGGGCGTTCAGATTCATACAAAAGGAAAACTGAAGGAGCAGTACACAGGATCTAGTATTATTACAGGGACGGCGTGTGGCTAGGCTAAGGTCAGGTCTTGTCCAAATATTGCAGTAGCTCCGGTGTGGGCTGGAATCACATGTACAAGAAGCTAAACATGGCGGACTAAGTTTGAGGCACTGACTGAATAAGAGGACTCACCAGGAATACAGGTCAGAGTTCACTAAGATTTGACAGGTCACTAGCCTCACAGCAAGATGGCTTAAGGCTTATGTTTGTTATGTAAGTTTTAGTTAAAGGTGCACTATGTAACTTTTTTGGAGGGGGGGAGTGGGCTACTTGCTTGTCTCCATGGAGATGTATATGTTTGGCTGGAAAATCCCACAGTATAGCATTAAACCTCTCTATATAAATGTCATGGGTGTCAAGGTGATTTGTTTAATTCTTATTGGCAAGTATGATTATTTGAGTCATAATGTTATAGTAAAAAGTAAAAAAAATATAATGGTGGATGTTTTAAAAGTTAAAATAAGTTCATTTAATGCTATATATTAGGGATGTAATGATATCCAAATCTCTTGGTATGATATTTATTGCGATATTTTGGAGAGGCAGATATAAATGTAGATAAGACACTTTTTTGCTTTTAAAACACTTTAACAAGATTTTGGTGTGAATTATTTCTGTCATAATCCCAAGAATTTAAGTAAAAAACATATTTCTTCATGTTTTCTGCACTGAAATGAATCATGGGATATGTAGTTCCCACTGTTTAAAAGCTGTTGCTGCTGTAAAACATTTAAGCAAAGGAACTTGTGATTCGATATATTGTGACAGCCCATGACATTATTGTGAGACATTTGATGATTTTCGTGTTTTTTATTTTTATGGCCATGGTAACATTACTTATCCTTCAGAAAGTTAGATTTTTTAAAGCTGGTCACAGGCTATTAACATTAAATTATTAAACTGAGTAAATGCAAGATGGATAAATTTAATGCCCTACTTTGAAACATTCCAGACAAAACTATGACATCTCCAGGGCGACAACCAGACCCACTAGAAAAGCTCCATAGTGCGCGTTTAACATTGAAAAGGCATCATAACTAAATACATTCTTTCTCGATGCCGTAAAGGCGCTGTACCCGTTTTTGTCTTAAAAATGTGAAAAACAGACCTAGTTCATTTTTAAAGGTTTGCACTGGTCCAAAGTTCTTCCTCGCTTCACTTATGCGATCAGAGCATCCTAATTATTGACCGTGAGGAGTTTATTAGCGCTTTTCACGGTAATAATGACAGCAACTAGTATGCTAACAGCGCACTTGCAGCCTTTTTTTGACCTCAAGAGCTGCTTATACAATATATCTGTACCGTTCTTCCTCACATCCCTTAAGCGTACAGAGCATCCTAATTATTCACCGTGACAAGATTATTAGCGCTTTTCACGGTCATCATGGTATCAATGACAATAACTAGAATGCAAACAGCGCTCTTGCAGACTTATTTTGACCTCTAGAGCTGCTTATGCAATCTATCTGTACTGGAGTGAAACACATTTAGCTCAAATACATGGGAAAAAACTGGTACAGCGCTTTTATCTTAGCACAACATTCCGCTGTAATTAGCTTGAAAACTTAGCCAAACTTAGCCACTTAGCTTTAAAATGTTATATTCTTTGTGTTGGTCAAAAAAAAGAAACTTTGCCAGAAAAATCAAGCAAAAAAACTTATCTGTGTACTTTAGCCATTGTGCTACGAGGCTAATGATTTGTAAGTACGGTTTTGAAACACGACGACGCACAAATTCCAGCTTAAGCTAGCCCTACGTTTTGGATTAGCACAGTCCTATTGTGTCTTTATTTCACCTTAAAATCGTACACTCTCGCTCACACATGCAAATAAATTAACATGAATAAAACAACACTTTTTTTGGCTTTGAGATTCAAACGTGAAAAATAAGTTAGCAGCTTAAATAAAAGGACTATACCCACGGGTTGAACGCTATACAAGAAATGCTAATTGTGCAGGCTAATTGTGTATTTATGAACCGAAATACGCCAAAAAGAAAATAATCGAAAAGTTTACGATGATTTATTTTGTGCATTCAGTTCGTTTTTGCTAATTGTACACATATTGTCATCATTATTGCGTTTCACAGCGGGGTTGCCGGTTCGATTCCCTAAACACCTACGCCCGTGCTGTACTGCCGCTGTGTCCACGGGCGGAACACCTTACTTGTTTACTTGTTTACCGCCTGCTCCAGTCGCGGTAAAGTGGCAGGTTGCGACTGGAAGGGCATCTGGCTTTTAAAAAAAATTGCTAAATCGCCATGGCAACCCAAAATTGTATTCATATTTGAGTTTTCCAGATTTGCGACCATGTTTAAGGGATTCCAAGAGGCCGGAAAGGTCCATCTTGCCTTGTTCAGGTTGGCTTCGGAGTAGTAGTACCAGTTGTAGTAGTAGTAGTAGTAGTAGTAGTAGTATTGGCCTGGTAGGTTCGCAGTAGTACTTTATGTCGCGTTGCTCCCTCCGCCCTCCTGCTCTGCTGTATCACCAGGTACTCTTTGAGGCGTCCCGTGGTGAAGTTGAGGGTTTGACGCCGGAGTTTCATCAGGTAAGAGTCCTGGAGCCAGGCGTGGGAGAAGCAGTCGCGTGTGGTCGGACGAGCCCTGGAAAGGTAAAAATGCAAAGTAGAATCACATTTTAATACACAGGGTTGGGTTGGAACATAATACTAAAAAGACAATAATCATTTGTGGGACATTTGATATAATCATGAGAATCGCCAACAAAGAAATCATCACTGTACCACCAGAATGTGCTGGAAAAAGCCACTCATCCATGTTGTTTTCACTTATACTATAACAGTTTAAATATAGAACTTAATATTAAAAGTATAGTTATTCATTTCCTCAACATTTTAAAACTTTAATACTTAGCGTGATAAAATGATTAACTGCAATCTCCATGATAATCCTGACCCTAAATTTCGATATCGTTCCATGCACAACGACTACAGTGTGTTATAGAATTTGATGTATAAACCTGTTGTGATGTAAATGTTTTAGCTGGCTTTATGATACATATTTTTACAAAAGAAAACCCTCAATGTGAAACAAACTGTCACAAAGTTAGGTTAAGCTTAAATCGAGTAACGCCTTGTAACTTCCTGGAGGAGACATGCCACTTGCATGTTAAAGGTAAAATTAAAAGCATTTATTCAATTACAGGTGGTTTTACAGCTCAGAAATACCTTGAAAAACAGACTTTCCGACTGTCCATAGATCTGATCTGTAACTTGGTCTAGTTTGGTCTTCATAAAGTTGAAAAAGTTTATCATACTGTGAAACATTCCAGATGAAGCATACAGTGAAATATTCTCCATGGAGATAGATAAGGTTTATGGCATACTGTGGAAAAGCCACAGGAATAACATTTCCATGGAAAAAAGCAGGAGAAGGCCCTTCTTTAGAACAAATATGAGTAAGGGTTTCAGTGAGGATGTTTGTCAGGGCAATAAAAACATTCAGAATGAAAAACTTGTTTTGCTTCATTTTTTTGGCTAAAAAGTTAGGGGCTTTAAGTAATCAAAATTGCAACATTTTGTTAAAGTTACATTACTCATCAAACGGGTGGCTCACAGCAAAATAGAAGAGAATGAAAAAATGTGTGTACAAAAATGTTCTTGGTAATATCTGTTATTATCTGTTCTATATGAGATTCAAACATTCACCATGGATAACTGCTGAGCATCTTCTTGAGAAACGTGGCTGCGCTCTGGGACACGTTGGGGTACAGTCTGGTCTGGTCAAACTTGGCCATGAGGATTTTGGACTCCACCTTCTGAGGGTCTTTGTCCTCGAAGGGCAGACGGCCGCTCAGCCTGGAAACAACATCAGAGCAGAAGAAGCCATGTCTACAAGTTCACATGCTCTTCTGTGTGAGATCATGTAGACCACAGGCTTACATGATGTGTGTGATGACGCCGATGCTCCAGATGTCAGTAGGAGGACCCACCACTTCACCCTTCACCATCTCTGGAGCTAAACACAAAAACATCTCAAGGTTAGACAGCTGTTAAGTCATTATCAGAAGATATTTTAAAAATATCAGTGCATATAAAAGCATCTAAAATTCTACTTAGAAATGGCTCCAACAGCTTGATGAATACAAGAGGATGGGCTGTTAAGTTATTTTGCTGGTTTTATTGTTGCTGCCGCTGCTGGACTTTGAATTTCCTGCGGGATAAATAAAGTATCTATTCTTGTATCCATCCTTCTGTCCGTCCTTCTGTCTGTCTGTGTGTCTATCATTCTATCTATCTGTCTGTCTATCTAGAAGACTTGAATTTGCAGTACTAATCTGTCTTTATGTAATTTGAACTGTCAAATATTCAAAGTCCTTAGAGTAAAAAGACATGCTGTAATAAACTGTTTTTATAAATTCTTTTTGTTGGTGGTGTAGTGTTGTCACAATAGTAGAATTTAAACTGGATGCTAAGGAAAAAATACTGAATTAGCTACAAAATTATGATGAAATGACCAATAAAATTTCCAACAAAAAATAGTAGTAGTTTCTTTAATATGTCCTTCTTCCACTTCCACAGAGATCAAAACCATTTAAAAACTATTCAAGAAAGGGAAAATTGCATCCTATTTAAGTGTTTTTTCTTATTGAAACTTATTGTTAATATCCATAAACATATGGGGAAATTTTGTGCAGTGTAGTAAGAAATACAACTTTTTACTAATATTTTTTTATATATTATATTATTTTTAATAATAAAAAATATGTCAGCAAGTCACCAAAAAGATGAATAGAATACGAGAGTAATTTAATTCAATTTGTAAAAAAAAAAGAAATGTAAATATATAATTTTTTGCAGTGTACGCTTAAACAATTATTTAAAGGTTTAAAGGTCTGTCACCTGCTTGTTTCTATGGATACATCATTGCTCTGCCTGGAATATTCCACAGTATGACTTCAAACAGCTCTACTTTACATTTATTCAATTACAGGTGATTTTATAGCTCAAAAACTGCTAGAAAAACAGGCAGATAGAAAGACAGTGTGAAACATTCCAGACAAAGCAATAACATCTCCATGAAGAAAAGCGCTTGCCGGACCTTCCGGCAGAAATGTACACAATGTACGTTTCCATGAGAGCTGTAGTGTTTATAGTTTTGCCATAGAGAAATGCTGAGTCCTCTCCTCTTTACCCATATACTCGAGAGTCCCCAAGCGAGCCTCCTGTGTCTTGAGGCTAAGTGGGTTGAAGCTCTGAGCGCTCCCGAAGTCCAGGATCTTGACGACATTGAGGTTAGTGACCAGGATGTTGTCTGGCTTCAGGTCCAGGTGGAGGACTCTGCGGCTGTGAAGGTACTCCACCCCCTGAAGGATCTGCACCAGGTAGCCCACCACGTCGTCCTCTGAGTAACGGAACCTAAGACAGGAAAAGAGGGTTCATGTTGATAAAACCAGGACTAAACCAAGATTGAATCAGGACTAAATCGGGACTGAACCAGACCTAAACGAAGCCTGAACCAGAACTAAACCAAGACTGAACCAGAATTAAACCAAGACGCAACCAGGACTAAACCAGGACTGAACCAGGACTAAACCAAGACTGAACCAGAATCAAACCAAGACTGAACCAGGACTAAACCAGAACTAAACCAAGACTGAACTAAACTAAACTAGAGCCACTAAAACAGGATCAAACTGAGACTACGCCACAACTAAGACTAATTTATCCAGAAATAAAACTGGGTCTAAACCAGGACAAAACCAGAAGTAAATTTAGATAAACCAGGATTAAAGCAGTGGTTTGTGAATAGTGTGAATAAAACAAGAACTACATATAGACTAAGCTGAGACTAAACCATGACTAAAAGAGGACAAAACCTGGACAAAAATCCAAACAAAATAGAAACAAAGACTTAACCAGGACCTAAACTAGATGATTTACAGAAGACTTAAAGACTTTGCCCCTTGTTAATAGTTTTTTTTTTTTTAAATCTATTTTAAAGTGCACTGTGTCAAAATTAGACCACAGTGCACTGTCTGCATCTAATTCTAAAAATGTGAACTTGTAAGAAATGAGCCTTGACTCATGACTTGAGTGACTACATTAATGGAACCCAGGAAGAGCTGCGACCACTAATGGGGCTAATGGGGCTCCAAATAAATAAATATATGACACTTTGGGATGAAAGCTCATTGGCTGTGCAAGCGTGGTCCTCCATGCTTTACTTCTCTATCCGTAAAAGCCATTCTAAAGCTTTTCTAATAGACAAAATACTAGTACATCAAATGAAAATATAGTGAAGTTTCAAAGGATTTGTGAGAGATTAGAATGCGTTGGAGAGCTTTAGATAGGATGTATTTTATTTCTATGGGGTATTCACCTCTAACACATGACATATTTTGATCACAATGTTACCTTTTATAGGTTTATGAGTTTTACTTTTGTTCTTGACGCTCTGAGCCAGCCTCCCTTTTCTCCCTCCCATGCTATGTCAGTCCCCCTTCAGAGCATGTATCCCATTAATGAAACTACTGCACATCGCATCAGGTTTGTGAAGTTGTAGTGTACAGTTGTCTCCACGGAGATGTAATTACTTTGCATGAAATGATCCACAGTATGGCATTAAACATCTGTCTTGTACTGACATTTTTATGCTTGCTTCCTCACAGATCTGACCTATAACTTGGCCTGGTGGTGTTATCTTTTTGTCTTTATGGAGATAGACAGGTTTAATGCAATACTTATGGGCGGAATCTAACAGCTAACCATAAAGAGGGTTCAAATAGTGCCCAGAAGAGCTCACTAGATTACTCAAAAATGCATGGACATTCAGTATAAATCCTCTTCAGGCTTGTTTCTACCTTCTGCTTTACTTACCTGTCTGTGAGTGCATGCAGTAGCTCCTTGCCGATGCAGTACTCAGACACCAGGACCAGGTATCTGGGGGTGACGTAGGCCTCGTGTAGACTCATGATCTTCTCGTTGTGGAGGCTCTTGAGGATCTCGTACTCCCTCAGGACCTCGGCCTTGTTCTCCTGAGTGTACGGGACGATCTTGGCCATGAAGATCTTACCTGTGGAGTTCTCCCTGCACTCACGGATCACACCAAAGCGCCCCCTGCAGGACAAGTAGGGTCATGTGGTGATATCAGAAAAGGGAATTTTTAAGGGAATTTTTATTTTCAGTGACTTTGCAATGGACTTATTGCTTCAATCTTAAACAAGATCTATGCCAGGTCTAAACCAGGTCTAAACTAAGTCTAAACCAGGTCTTAACCAGTTCTTAACCAGGTCTTAACTTGGTCTTTACTGGTTCTAAACTGCTTTTCAAGTGTCTTCTCTTATAGCTGCTGATATAATAGTGAATTGAATCTTCCCTCACCTGGCCTTCTCCTCCAGAAAGGTGTATGGTTTCTGTGGGACCCCCTGCCTGAGCGTGGTGGAGGGGGTGGTTCGTCCAGAGGGAGTTCCCCGTCCGGAGGGGGTTCCTCTGGGGGTAGTGGTCCCGTCAGCAATGGGGCTCAGACTGGAGGTCTGCAGCACGGGTGGGGTGAAGGACACTGGGGTGGGGGCCTTGGTGGGGGTCGATATGTAAGAGGGGACCGAGCTTAACGCTGGCTTGGTGGGCGTGGAGGGTGGAGTTACGATGGTGGGCGGGGCCGACACAGAAGTGGGCGGGGTTTGCGTCATGGGCGTCACCACGTTCACCGGGCTCTGCGTTTTGGTAATGACGAAGGGAGGCGTTTTGGTTGCGGGTTTGTCTTCGGGGATGGCGGCGGGACTGACGGGTCCAGAGGAGGGCGGAGTTAGGGGCGTGGTAACGGGGGAGGTGCTGGTGACTACGGTTGCCACGGTGACCTTGGGGGCATAGTTGTGGGCGGGTTTAAAAGGAGGGATGGTGAGTGGGGAGGAGGCGGCGGTGGTAATGACAGTTGCCGTGGTGACCTTGGGGGTGTGGTTATGTGTGGGTTTAAAAGGAGGGATGGAGAGTGAGGAAGAGGTGGTGGTGGTGACGACGGTCGCCGCGGTGACCTTGGGAGCGTAATTGTGGGCGGGTTTAAAAGGAGGGATGGTGAGGGGGGAGGTGGTGGGGGTGACGACTGTTGCCGTGGTGATCTTGGCGGCGGGTCTTAGAGGAGAGATGGCGAGGGAGGAGGAGACCGCGGGTTCTGGGGGGGCGGGGACAGTCTTCACTACAGCCACAGGGGGCGGGGCACTACCACCTGAACAAGAACAGAGTTTATCAACAGATGTTTAATGCCATACTGTAGAATATTTCAGGCAAAGCAATGGCATCTCCATGGAGACAAGTGGGTATAATGCAAACATCATCAGAAAAGTTACACATTGGAACTTTAAAAAGAAAAAAAAAAAAAAAATCTAATTAATATATTGTGATAACATGTTTTAGCCTTGTGATATTTTTTGGAGGATCTCTACATTAATAATAATCATTGAAAAATGTTTTATTTTTGTTTACCTGTAGTTCCCACGGTAACAGGAGCAGACAGGTTGCTGTAAGGGCCCTTCCCGGCTTTATTCACACAGACCACTCTGAACCGGAACGCCCCGCCCTCCGGCAGCTCGCTCACGTTGTAGTAACAGTCCACTATCCCCGAGGCGACTGTCATCCAGCTAGACTCACCTGGACAAAGGATAAACAGCGAATTAAACTCAAATCTAAATATAATTAATGTTTTTTTTTTTCTTCAAAAGTAATGGATATAATAACACTTTAGAAATAATAATTACAAAATAATTACAAATAACAAATAATTTAAAAAATACACTCATAAATATATTTTGTAAGGCAATAATGACCAAAATACAATAATAGTTTTATATTACACACACACACAAAAAAACACACAGTCATGACTTTAATTAGATTCTCAAATACTGAAATTATAACAGCACAAATGTAACCAAATTATCAAGTGTAATGCCAATAATCTGATTCTGAAATGTCATCTGAAACCAAAGTGCTCATGTATTTTTATCTTGCAGCTCACATAATGCACACAAGATGGTAGTGTTGTCAAATGTATCCAGGATCTAGGCTACAGTCTTATTTTTGTGCTGGTTTAATCCTGGTTGAATCTTGGTTTAGATCTGGCTTAGTCCTGGTTTAATCCTCATGCAGACTAGACTCGTATATAGAATAGTCCGAGTTTAGTCCCAGTTTTGATGTGAGCAAGTCTGAACCCGACCTTAGATAACAAACAGCTATTGCTACAAACTCAAATTACAAATGATTGCTATCCAAAATATTTACTTCCATAATACATATTTATAGATGCATGTACTTATACTTGATAAATACAGTATTGTAGACAGAACAGTTGAATAAGCGTCTGTATGTCTTGAGTCTATTTTTAGCCTGACAATAGTAGAGCAGTGACGTGGGCCCCGGGAGACTATAGGCCCCTGTGCACTGACTCATGTCTGTGTCTGGGCCCTGTCTCCTCACGCTACACTAAACACAAGGTTTGTTTATATGTAATGAAGGGAAATGACATAAGTGGGATGTTTAACAGAACTGTAAACGTCCCGAGAATAGACACAGTAAATGAGTCTGTGACGTATTGCAATTTTCAATCGCTCAAATGAAAATGAAAATATAATAGCATGAAAAATTTTTAGATTTTCTGTTACATTTAAGTGTATATTTTATCATTTCGTATGTGCCCCTTGGAAAAAAAAAAAAAGGAAAAGCCAGGGACATCTTAAAAGTGTCATTCAGTGCAACGGACATTTTGTTAAAACTGAATTCATTTTGAAGTAACTTATATTATTGAAAATGATGAAAAACACAAACTGAGAGCTATAAATAAACAGTAGGGCATTATTATTATTATTATTTTTCTTAAAGTTTTGAAGAATTTCAAGAATTTGCCCTAATACAGCATTAACTCTCAACTGTGGTACTTTTTTTTTCATAAAAGAGTAAAACACACAAAATTGGATAAAACCTAAGCATATTAGCACTTTCCCTGTTTAAATTTAAGCTCTTATGTAAAACTAGTCAAATCACACTAACAACATCTGTCTAACTACCTTTAATATATTTATTATCCAATTGTATTTTGAATTATTAATCTACCAAACCTAATTTCTTTTATTTATCTGATTTAACATTTTTAATTAAAATTATTACTTTAATATAGTAGCATGTATAGTTTTATTTATAAAAGAAATCCAGACATTTTTTATTTAAATGCTTAAAGTTACCTACAACAGATACAGGTCTGTATACATTTTAGCTGAGTTTTTAAACATGATATTAGCATGTTATTACAATTTATTATTATTATTATTATTATTATTATTATTATTATTATTATTATTATTATTATTATTATGTCATTACAAGAAATTAACACAAATTTTTCATGTTATTACAAGCACAGACTTTTGTGCCATTGGGGTTTCATGGGTTCAGTGTTTACAGTCAATGTTAAGAGCCAAGGATAAACCAGGATTAAACCAGGACTAAAAGAAAAAAAAAAGACTACAGCAAGTTTAAAGCACTATGTAACATTTCTGCTTGTGTGCTTCTCTCTGTGGAGATGCTATTGCTTTGGAATGTTCTGCAGTATAACATGAAACTAAACAGAAGACCAATACCAGGTAAAGTTGCAGGTTTGATTTGCGGAGAAGTGACCCTGGTTACACTAAGACTGTTTCCAGGCAAAGCAATAACATCTCTAGGAGACAAGCAGTTACCAGAAAGTTACACAATGCAGGACTAAAACAGGGCTAAATTAGATTCAGAAATTATTTTTATTGCCATACAAGACTACAGACCTTTCCTGTACACTACTTGTCCATAATGTAAATAAATGTGAGTGTTTTTAATATAATCTTTAGGTAGGTGTGTGTGTAATGTTTTCTCACCCTCGGTTCTCCTCTCCAATGTGTAGGAGCAGGGGGGCTTGGTGTCTGCAGGCTTCCACAGCACCAGAGCTGTGTTGTTGTACGTCTGGGGGACCTCTGGAGTTCCTGGCCTCTTGGGAACACCTGCACATGGATAAAAGTGATTGGAAATGTTCTTGTAGGTCTTCAGAATGGCTCATTCTGTTTTACATCTTTCACAATATTTTAAGAGACCGGCGCTTGGCCACATCTGGTTCTGGCATTGTTGTAATTTAATACAGGTTTTATAAAGTACCAACCTGAACAGAATAGAAGGTCCTGTATTTCTATTTTCTATTTTCTGATCTCTGTTATAATGTTGTTTCCTCATCACAAACATACCAGTAGTTGTGTATACACAAACCCTGCAAATTTAAGCAGAGTTCTTTTCTCAAAACCTAATTTCAAACCGAAAACAGAATCACACAGAATAATTTGGATTGGATTTCAGCTCTGGAATTGGAAAAGGTGAAAGAGGTGTTAACTTGAACTACCGCTTCATGACATCACAAGGTTCTAACAGGACTTAAAGCTCACAAGAGTCAGTTGTGCGTAATATTTAAACTTTAAAGGCAAATAGTAATTGTAAACAGCAGTGAATATTTAACTGCAATAAGTTTTGACCCTAAAAGCTCCTCGTTTCTGGGCTAGAATTTACAGATCCAAATAAAATCATTTCCCAATCTTTGCAGTATGCTGGCTGTAAGCACTAAATTAATGAACAAGAATGAATCATGTTAAACAATCATCCCTTGATAAGAAAATGGAAGTTCTCCAGCTGAACCAAGGCAAAACCGCTGCTCCCTAATTGCACAATGCATTATGGGAATCTAAAGTGGACGTCGGCTTAAGTGGAGAGGTGTATTTCGCGTCCAGCTCTATCAGAGACAGCTGTGAAGTGAGGTGGATAGGGCTTGACGTGTGAAAAATCTATTCTGCAGAGCTGCGGGGCCCGAGCGGAGCGGCTAATGCGCAGCAATTTGTCAAAGTGTGAAGATGACGTGTCGGAGGCGTTTACAAAGCTCACACACAGCGTGCAGGGGGTCCCATTTCTCTCCACGCACGATAAGTGAGACAGCCTTCAAATATGTGTGTTCAATTGAATCCAAGTGGGTTTAAATTGTGTGCATTAATACTCGTGTCAAAGTGGATGCTGTTAAGAGTTTGGTAACATTTTAAGGCTACAACAAGAACCGACAAGAAGAATTACAGAATGGTTGTACATTTGCTACATGATCCAGTTGGTTGGTCGATTTGTGTCTGAATTCATATAAACTTGACATGTAAAAGCAGAGTTTTGTGCTTTGCTCACTGATTCCACAAAAATCTGCAAACTGTTTTTCAATCCCTTATGATTTTTTCCTCATAAACAGCCATATTGGCTGATCCACCTGTCAATCACACCTATCTGAACTCAGGCAGATTCACCGGTGACCAGACTCATAACTTTGTAAAGTATTGAAAAAGTGTGTGTTCAGAATCCTAGACAAGCATTTTGAAAATAAATAGACAAAACTGAGCACATAATTCTCAAATTCCTTTAAATGCAGTTTAGAAGTTTAGATGGGGGCCCAGTAGTTGTTGGACAAGGACAATTGACCCACACTGCCTTGTTTGAAAGTGGGAGTGAGCGTGGTGAGTGTTGGTCATGGTCGGAGGTGCTGCAGATTGGCAGCCGAACCTCAAAGTCAGTCTGTCCAAGAGCAGCTGTGGCTACAATAGTCACATCACTGAGTGTGAAGTAAATGAGTAACGCTCCATTAATCTGTAAAGTACTTTGAGTGTCACGAAAGGGGCTATATAAATTCAACGATTAATTAATTAATTAATTAATAAGACATTTTAAAAACTCATCCTATTAATCCACCACAATGTTAATATGATATATTCCTAAAAATGATGTAACTGAATTTACTCAATATCTCTATTATATTTCTAAAGACTAGCTACAGTGGCCAGTTAGTAACAAACGTAAAGCCAAGTGCTAAGAGTTATTACATCCATTAGGAGCCGTAGGTTTTATGATGCACTATACGAGCCCCTCTTACATGCGATGGAGAGGGTGCAGGAGGTGGTCACTGCGGCGATGGGGTTGGTGGCCACACACTCAAACACTCCAGCGTCTCTGCGGCCGCTCTTCATGATGGTGAGGAGCTGTCGGCCATCAGGGTGAGAGATCAAGTTCATCCGCTCATCCAGCTCCAGGGGTTTACGATCTGCAACAAAACCGCACACAACCAATAAGTGAAAAATTGTAAAAGCCTCTAATTAATACATTTGTAAATAAGTAGCTATCATTATCATATAATTGCTGTCTTAATGAACTTTAAAAATAAATAAATAATTTTAAAGTCTTAAATGTTAAAGACTGTTATTTTAAACAATTTTATACAGCTTCGAGTGGTCTAAAGTTATTCCTCACTTAGCTTATGCATCCTAAACATTCTAATTATTCACCACAAAAGTTTCTGTAATTAGCGCTTTTCACAACTTTCAGAGGCCAGTGCAGATTTTCTGTCACGGTAGACAACTAGCTATAGGCGCACTGCCTGTTTTGCAGAGCATAAATTGCTCTATAATTAAATGCAGATGGCAGACATCAGTCTTATTTTAATCCTAGTAGCTACTTTTACAATATATCTGTATTGGAACAAAATAATGCTATAGTCTTCAGTATAATATAGATTGACACAGTTAACCATTTTATTTCATCTAAAACTAAAATGAGAAAATAACAAAGTCTGTTTATAATCATGATTTTCATAATTTAGGCCTAAATTCATGAAGTCATAAAGATGACATGTCATGTTTGACCATAGAGCTGCATTTAACTAAATCACCATATTCTACCAGTGATACATCATATCAACTAATTATATTTTCTGTTGTTACATTTTACACTCCTATTAATATAAATCATCTTTTTGACCCCAGCATCTCTACCTTTCATCCAGGTGATCTCAGGCGGAGGACTCCCAGCGGGCAGGCAGCTCAGGGTCACGGGGTCCCCCTCCAGCAGCACGTGGTCTTTGAGTTTGATGTGGAAGACTGGAGCGAAGTCTGAGGCTGATCGGCTGAACTGCTCTTGCCCAGCTGCCCTCCCCTCTGGCTGGGATGAAGTCCGCTCCCTCCGGTTTCTGGACAGTCCCCACCTGTCCCACCTGGACCTTCTTTCGCTCTCCTGCACCTTCTCCGTCTGGCTGCTGGTGGACTCGATGGATTCCTTGGATGCGCCTGTCGAAGCCTGCTTTGCTAGCTGGTTTTCCGGGATGCCCATTCCCTTGAGCCCGCGACCCTCCGATTGGGAATGCCGGTGACGACTGAAGATTGGAGTCCTCTTCCCTTCGTTTTCCACTTTTCTCTCCTCGGACTGGCTGCGGATTTTGGAGGAGATCCCTGCCACCTTGTTCTCGAACCTCTGTTTCATTGCCAGCACTGGTGAATCAGTCACTTTCTTCAAATCTTTCTGACTTCCGCTGCCGTCCTTCTCCCGTCTCTCTTCTGACTGGGTCCTGATTTTGGCGGAGATTTCAGAAACTTTGGACTCAAACTTCCGCCTCATGGAGGATACGGCAGATTCATCCAATTTCTCCTCACGTTTTTCTGACTGTTTCTGTGAACTTTCCTTTGTGTCCAGTGACTTGCTGCGTCCGATAGCCCAGGATACTCTTTTGCTAGCTGCAGTTTCCTCTTTAGCTTTTTCCGGTTTCTTCTCCACTGATGACGATCTCTTGGAACGCAGAGAGAACCTTCCAATCAATCCCAAACCAACATCCCTGTCCACCTCTCTTAGATCTTGAACTGACTTTGCTTTTTCTTGAAGACCTTTCTGAACCATCTCAAGGGGTTCTCCTCTTGCTGCTGGCCGGTAGACTTCTTCACCTCCTTCGTTTGCCTTCCTGACCGGTGACCTTTCCTCTGACCGATTCCTGGTTAATTTGCGGAGACCACGAGTTAGAGAGGATTCCCTCTTTTTGAACCTCGCTTCGAAGACCTCCTCAGAATCAATATCTTTAATGTCACTTCGTAGGACAGGTTGGCGAGCGAGGGCTGGGGCCTCCGGTGTAGTTATTAGGTCCGCGGTTGCAACTTTGGCGAATACAGCCGGATGTTCTGGTAAGGACTCAGTAGACTGTGAGGAAGCTTTGTTTGGAAGTTCGGCTTTTTCAGATGTAAATGTTTTATCATTTTGAGAATCATCCTTATCTTGTCTTACTGTTGCTGGAATTTCCTTCTTCTCCTCAACGGTTTCCTCAACAACAATAATCGGAGGGACTAGCGATTTTCCTTCTTGTGTTTTGGTCTTCAGAACTAAACCTTCATCGGAACTTTCATCCATTTGGTCCCTTGTTTCTGGCAGACTGAACATTGCTTTCACTGTAGGGGAACTCCTTGAATCGATTTCCGTAAGCGCAGACATGGAAGTAGCCTCTTGCAGGTTCTTCCCGTCCATACTACCACTACTACTACTCGCCGATGGGATTTCCAGCGGTGCTCCAAATCTCCGGTGAAGTGGCATGGGTTCTGAATCTCCCTGAGAGAAGGAGGAACTTTTGCGGAACACTTTGGTCTTGGGGGTATCTTCTGTTGTCGTTTCTGAAGAAGCAGCTCGGATGAGAGATGAGGGACCAGTTTTGGATCGACGCAAACTTCGTTCCAGAGAACCAGCTGATGTGTTCTCTTCCACTCCTAACGTCTCAAACAACGGACCTCGCAACCCGCTCATCTTTTTGTCCGCACTGCCTCCCCGTAGCAGCCTTTGCCGCATCAACTCCAGTTTGAGAGCATAGTCTTCTTGGCTTAGCTTGCCTGGACCGGGGCTAGGGCTACGATTGGGCAGCTCCATGGAAACCGCCTTCTTTAGTGTCTTGTTAGCAGTTGATGCATCCTCGTTAGCGCCAGCCTCTTCTGGGTCGATATGGAGGAGGAGAGCTGAATCCGCCGAGCTGCCCCGCCTCATGGTAGCCCGTCTCGACTTGGTTGCCGATTCGTCCGCTTCGATGCTAGAACCTTTTTTCAGCGGCACTCTTTGAACTCTTTTCCCTTCTTCCGTCGCTTCCTCGGTTATGTCTTCCATGTTCGGTTTTTCGGATGACCACGCCACGTCGTCGTCTCCGGGGATGTCGTTGAGGGAAATGCGCGACCCGGAGAAGACCATGGAGAGGGGCATGGGGATGAAGGGGAGCTCGTCTACGTCTGCGTCCGAGTCCGAGGAAGAAGAGGGCGGGGGGGAGCCTTCCTTCAGGTGACGGGCCACAGCGATGGACACGTGGTTGGAGGAGTCACTCAGGAGTTCGGGGATGGAGCGCATCACCATCTTGGATTTGTAGCTGATCAGAGAGCGCTGAGGGAGAGACATTCAGCAGATATTTAATTTAAATTACAATTACTTTTCAAAACTTATCTTGTATACTTTTTCATGTAAGGAGACACAAAAGAAAAACAAGGAAAGAAATACCCCACACAATATGAGAAGCTAACCCAAGATGTTATTCTTGTGAAAGTACTACAATTTTTGACACTTGAGATGTAATAAAGGGTGCGCGATGTAACTTTTCTGTTTGAGAGTCTATCACCTGCATTTCTCAACGAAAATTTTAAGAAACATAAGACATAACTAGTAAACTTTCCATGGAAACAAACCCTAGGCTACAGGTCAGATCTCTGCAGAGGAAAAGTTGTTTGTTTGCAATAAAAACACTTCTTCAGACAAGCAGGTCAGAACAAAATTTTACACAGCCCCCTTTAACTGCTAGCTGTCATAAAATGGGTTTGCAGACACTTGAAATATCTCTATTGTGAGGTAGATTAGGACCATTGCTTTCCATATAAAACAGTTCTTTCGCTTTTATTCCTCTTCCTGTCAAAACTCATTCTTCTGTTACTTTCATGTTTTCGATTTAGCATCCCGTCTGGACTGACTCATTGCGTAAACTTTTAAATGTCACCCGTGACTAAAAATAAGCCTTAAACTGTTTCGTTTCGGAGGCTGTCTTCCACAAAAGTGCCATCTGCCTGCGCTCCTACCTGCCACTTCCTCCGGGACAGCACTTGCTTCAGCTGTGCAGTGCTGATGCTCTTGTTTGTGGGGGACTGTGGAGAAAAGCATTGGGGTTTAAATACACTGCACGGTAAACGGTGTTATGTGATATACTGATGGAAGCTGAACGGATATGAAGTCTTACCTTGAACCAGGGATGGCGGAGGCACTCGACAGCTGTAGGCCTCCTGATAAAAGACAAGGAGAAGTGATGCAATTAAAGCAAAGCACAATAAAGAGGATTTGAAATACATGGCTTTCTGCTAAGAGAGACAAATCTTAAACTTATACCAATTTATATAACATTTCATCATTTAAAGTACTGTAAAAAATGGCTAGTTCCAGTCTCTATGGACAGTCTAAAAGAATGTCTATGAGATATTTGCCACAGTGGACTAAAATCACTAAAATCCAGCAGTGGAAAGTAACAAAGTACAAGTAAAAATACAATACTTAGAAATAATTTTAAAATGAAAAAAAAATTTTTAGGTACCTGTGCTTAAGTCAGTTTTACAGTGGATACTTTTAACTTTTACTTCATTACAATTGAGAGCATGTATTTCTGTTTTTCTGTATTTTCTACTCCACTTCATTTTAGATCTGGACCAAAAAGTAAAAGTACTTTTCTTTATGGTCTGCGAAGTGCTGAAGAGGCTGAGACTTACTTTTAGCACATTTAATCTGAGTTAACGTTCCAACTTATTATATAAAATCAGTTGAATCACTTAAAATCAGCCAAATTAATTTGATCAAAATCACTACATTTCATCCTTAAATTGTTCTAAAAATCTCTGCAAAATACTTTTACTTTTTTATTCTTAAAGTACATTTTTCAACAGGTATTTTAATACTTTTACTTAAGTAGATTTTCTTACGTGATACTTTTACTTTTAATTGAGTAATGTTTTGCCTCTGTAGCTGCACTTTTATTTCAGTAACAAAATTGAGTACTTCATCCACCACTGCTAAAATCTCTGTTTACAAAGGTAATGTTTTGTATGTCATTGCTAATGCTAATTTCAGAGCCTAATACCAAAATAACACCAGAAAGCTGAAATAATAAACAACATTTCTACAACACCTACAACATTTCAAATATTGTTTTTACAGCTGCAATGTGGATTTATTTACTATCACAAAAACATAATGTAGTAATCATTTATGTTTACAGTTTGTTAATTGAATCCAGATGTCTGTAATAAACCCAAAAGGGCTTTCTATGCTGAAATTTGTCCTCAGTGTATGACAGATAATGGCATTCCGGGATGAGTTGTGATTACAGCTATTACTTTTTTATTGACTGGGAACAATACATTTTCCTACGAATGTCCATATTTCATTCAAGTATTCCCTTTGATTTCCCTCTATAATAAAAATCCTGCTCCACTCACAGCCTGTCCACCACGAGCAGCTTGATGACGAATCCTTTGGCCTCTTTGCACAGGTCCGAGAACATGCTCTCCTCGAACGCCACGTTGTAGTTCCGGATGTTCAGCGCTGTGGCTCTGTCGTTCTCTCCGGCAAAAGGAGAAACACCTGTCAGACTGAAGACAAACAGTCAGTGTGTGTGCAGTGTACAGCGGACGAGTGTAAAAAGGATTCATGTTTATGAGAGAACGCACCAGAGGTAAGTGATGACTCCCACGGGCCTGGAAGAGAGCACAGTACACCGGTTACGCCATGGTTCATTTTGACGACAGCAAATTGAACATAGTTTTTGTCAGCATTAATATTTTAGCAGACAAAAGTCATTTATTTAAAGTGCATATGACAGTTTTTTTTTTCCTGCAAATTGCCACTTAACTGATAAACTATGATAAATATTTACCACAGGTACAATTCCAACTAATATTTTAACTAAAACATTTTGCAATACCAGTACAGAAAAAAATATTATGGATTAAGTCAAGTATAAAAGACAGATTTTGGTAATCATTTTCCAGATTTACTTGCCCTGAGTGTAGTTTAAGTTTTTATCTTATTTTACCAATTTAAACAACTGCGTACGCAAGTTGTATATTAATATTATCCCAATGTTAAAAGCCCTGTACGTGATTTCAAAATGTGTCTTGCCCTAGTACAAATATATTGTATAAACAGATCATAAATCCACTGTGTACTGTCTGGTTCTAATTACAAAGCATTTTTTGGTCCAAAAATCAGGAAGTTACATCAGTTAAGGAGATGGTAAAAATCAGGTAGAATGCATATTTTCTCCTCCTCCTTGGCACAATTAGTAAAATCAAACATATCCTCTCCCTCTCTGACCTTGAAAACATCATCCACACGCTCATCTTCCCCATTTAGACTATTACATCTCCCTCCTCTCCGGCCTCGATACCAAATCCCAAACCAGATTCCCAAAGCAGATCATATACTATTTGACGTCAAAGGAAAAACTCTGGTGCTTTGTTTTCAGCTGTAACTGTAAGAATCCATTGCTTCAAAGAATAATATTGGTTCATTAACAAAATATCTTTAAACAAATCTGCACAACATCTAATTTACTAAAACCAAAAAACACAGAGATCTGCATTCAAACGGGTGGTCATAATTAGCAGTGAGACGCTGAAGTGCTGATGCCAGTGTAGCGGTGTGCTGCCTCCGAACAGGTGGCTCACCATATGTCCGTTGCCGTGGAGACCGGGGTTTGGTTAACGATCTCTGGTGCGATGTATTCTGGCGTGCCGTATTTGCAGTAGCGCTCTTCGACCGTGTCCAGTTTCAAAGCATTCCCCAGATCGCACAGGCGGATCTGGTCACTGCTCGGGCCGGAGAAGAGGATGTTCTCGGGCTGTGGGGAGATACAGCAAAGAAAAGGTTTATATGTGTGTTAGTCTGTGTATTCAGAAATGTAAAATTTGACTAAATATGTGAGATCATTATTATTAGATCATTATTATTATTATTTTATAAAATGGTCATATTGACAAATAAAACATAATTTTTATATAAATGTATTATATTGCATTATATTGTTTCATTCACGTGTTTAACACACAAACCCTGTGTATTTAGGCTCATCTCTCAAACTGAAAACACTCTGTTCTGTGTGGTAATACAAGAAGTGCTCCACTGTGTTTTTAAACTCCATACGTCTTCACTAGAATCGTTTGGATCATTTCAGACCTGGAATTGGCAATCTCTACTGAACTAAAGGTAAAAGGAGCTGTTAAGGGGTTAATAAAGGGTTCCTCAAACATGTAAATGAAACAAAACACAACTCCAGGTCTATTTTTGAGGAGGTAAGAGCATTATAATACGGCTCAAAGCTCACAAGAGTCAATTCTGAGAGACATAGGATCTTTAAGTGCATATGACAGGCTTTTAAGTTGTTAATTTTTTACTTAATTTGGTGGCATCATAAAACACCATCCACAAAGCAATGTGTAAAGAAACATTTAAAAATATTAAAATTTTAAAAATTACTACAGTAACAGCATTTTTTCATCGAAGTAAAGGTATTTTCTCATATTTTTATTTGAAAAATATTAATTGTATTAATTGTTTTGGCCCAGTGAAGTGTGATATCATGAAGTAAAATTTTTAAACTATAAAATGGTCAGACTGGGGGAAGAAATCTTATAGGATCTTAATATGTGTTTTAGTAAAATGGGTAGTCCATGATGTTAGCTTTGATAAGTTAACAAATCCCACATGCCATAGTGGTTTAGGCTGCCCACACTGCCATTTCAGGGGATGGTCTCACAATAGTAGCAACAGTTAATAAACATAGGGAACTACATATCCCATGATTCATTTCAGTGCAGACAACATGAAGAAATATGTTTTTTACTTTAATTTTTGGAATTATGACAGTAATGATTTCCACCAAAGTCTTGTCAAGGTATATGAAAAGCAATAAGGGTCCTGTCTACAATTCTTTTAGCTTCTCCAAAATATCGCAATAAATATTGTACCGTGAAATGCATATCGCAATAATATCGTACTGTAAGATGTGGCTATTGTTACATCCCTACATTTCAGCCCCTGTCTCAGCTTTAAGTTGTGTTATAATGCTGTTACCTCCTCAAAAACAGACCTGGAGTTGTGTTTTGTTTCATTCACACATGTCTGAGTAAGTCTTTATTATTAGTCTGTCTACATCTCCCAAGATCAAAATGCTCTGTTCCACCTTGTGAGGTCAAGAAGTTGTAGTTTTCAAGTTAACAGCTCCTTTTACCTTAGTTCAGTAGAGATTGGAAATTCCAATCAAATGATTCTAGTGAAGGTGTTTGGAGTTTAAAAACAGTGGAGCACTTCCTGTGTTATCACATGACATCACAAGGTGGAACAGAGTGTTTTATGTTTGTGAGAAGAACTCAGCCTAAAAATGCAGGGTTTGTGCGTTAAACATGTGAATGAAACAAAACACAACTCCAGGTCCGTTTGTGATGAGGAAACAACATTATAACATAGATCATAAAATAGTGTAATATGGGCCCTTTAAAGAGCAATAACAATACAAATCATAATGTAATATGTGTCCTTTAATTTATTTCAATGAATTTGAGTCAAGTTCAGTACCTTTATGTCGAGATGTGCTATGCTTTTCTCATGAAGATATCTTAGCCCTTCTAGAATCTGCTGCACGCTCTTTCGAATCTGCAAAAAACAAACAAAAAAAACCTTCAACTCATGATACATACATGATACATGTTACTTCATACTATTTGGTATCCTACTAACCTCTACTTCCATGACTGTGGTTCTCTTGGCCATTCTGTCCAACATTTCCTCATGGTATCTTCACAGCATTGTTAAGGAAAAAGAAAGAGGAAATTGTGGAGCAGAGTTTTGAACATTTGGTGCATGGGAGATAAATTATGGATGAGTGGAATGCTTCCCGGGGTAATTCCATGGAAAAGGTGATGAGCGAAAAAGGGAGAGAGGGAGAGAGGCAGCCTGCGGGGTGGAGAGAGATAGAGAGCAAGGAGGATGGATGAGTGTATGCAGAGAAGAGTGTATGGTACTGCGGGCTGGGGCGTGTGCAATAGGCTAATTCAAGTGCAATCCGGTGTAATGTGGGACTTTCAAGATTAGGCAATGCTTTGTAATTCATTGTTTCAAAATTCAGGCTTCAAGTTAAATTGTTTTTGTAATTTTAATCAAGATTTAGTCAAATACTTTTTAGTTTTAGTCCAGTTTTAGAAGATAAAATGTTATGCTGATTTAGTTGACAAAATCAATAATAGACAATGGGCCTCATTCATGAAACATTCTTACAATCAAATTTGTGCTTAAGGCTTAAGGAAAATGTTCTTCTGGAAGAACATATCCTACGAACATTGAGGAGCACTTGTGAGAACAAAAATTCTACTGTTTTAAAATATTACTACTCTGATAATGCAACAAAAACATCTAATTCCTCCATGATTGAAAGTTATATATTTCTTAAATTATTTCCTATGAACATATTACTAAATGATCCAATAACATTTATGAGGCGTTTTATAGTAGTTTATTTGGTCTAACAGACTTTATACAGGCTGCAGTGAGCCTGCTGTCCCAGCCCCAGTGCTCCCCATATGGGCCATGAAAGCATCACTTACTTCTACAAGTTTATGATTTAAATATTCCCTCACTGAGTGTGTTCATGTGAGTTAAGACATTTGAAATCGCAGCTGAAGCTGTAAAACAGCTGTAGTCTGTAGATGAGCTCCATCTGACTTCCTCGTCTACTCTCTCCCTCGTACTTTCACCTGTCAGAAATTCATACCCATATTGGACATATTTGGAAGTTCAGAAGGTGTTTCTAACCAAATAGATATTAATTTTCTCTGTAAATGAAATGTAAATGAGCGCAGAGGTGTTCGGAGCCGGGTGTTGGTGAATTCGGCGCTACTTTCACTTAAGAAAGAATTCAGCTGCTTAAGAACACTTCGTGAATTCTCGTGAGTTCTCCCAGCAAGTGGAAGTTATTAAAATTTTTAAAGAAAAGATTCATGAATGAGGCCCAGTGTAATCTCTTATTCATTCAGGAGGGGTCCAAGGTAGAAATGGTACAAAGCTTCAGAGTTTATCATCTGGACACTGTTTTTGAAAGAAATTTCAACTCCCATCAAGAAGCCATTTTCAGTCTGATGGTTCTGGTTTGAGTCACGGGGATTTGTACTACTCCAGAGTTGGATTGATCCTGCCCCTAAGAGGAGTGAAACCAAACCAGGGAACTTTCACCTTTTCTACATTGAATCTATAATGGTTTAATCGATCCATAGTTACATGCACTTTGAATTTGTATTTGGTCTGGTTTGGAGCTCTTGGATTTAATTACAATTTGGATTTAGTCTTGTCCAATTCCTTTTATTCATTTATCACTATTTGATGGAAGTATCAGTACTTTTAGTCGATGAGCATATCTACTAGTCATAATAATAGTTTTAGTGTGTGATAGAAATGTATGTGTACCCATGTTGTCAAGAAAATAGTCTTATGTCTTGGTGTAAATGCATTAAAAAGTCACTCTGCTTGATATTTATATAGTTTTGCGATTCTGAAGAAAAGTGTTACAGCCACACGGCAGGGCATTTGCGTGTTTAAAGTTAAAATACAAAGAACTTTATTCTAAAACTAAATGTATTTATAGAACAGATATTTGTGCACAGTTGAGTTGAATTTTGGAGAAAGAAAGTGATAATGCACGTAGTGTTAAATACCCAAATATAATAATGTATTCTTGTTGTATGCCATTTCGACCCACACTTTACAATATAGACACAAGTACATACATCATTCACCATGTTAATGTTTTGAAGGATACAGGTCTGTAATCAACACCACGATGTGCTTCTTCTCAAACGCGTCGTGGAAGTAGAGGATGTTGGGATGGTCCAGCTCGCTCAGCAGCTCCATCTCCTTGAGAGCGGCCTGCTTCCTCCTGGCTCCCCGCGCGCACACAAACTTGGCGGCGTACTCGGATTTGGCCTTCTTGTGAGTCACCCTCTTCACGTACGAGAAGGCGCCCCTGCATGACAAGTAGGGCAGAGAAAGCACGACCACGTCAAGCGAGGAGAGAGCGGAGCCGGGGAGGAATTTCAATTTTGAGGGATCGCGTTAGTGGTTTGCTGAAGTGTCATCGAACGCGTACTACATAAGAATTGATACTCTGAGGTGATGTCAAACTGGGGGGGTTCTGCGTGTATGTCTGTGGAGGAATGTTCAGCAGTTAGTCTGGTGACTCAATGCACACAAGTCAAAAATACAAAATGACTGTGACTGTAATGTTATTTGAGAGACTTACTTAACAAAAATCAGTTTACCTGTTGTGCTAAGTCAGTTCTTTCTGGTCAGATTGCGTTACAACACTGCTCAGATTAAAGTCTAAACTTGAGTGACAGAGCTGCAGACAGAGCAGCGACTCTAGATGTTTGAAAATGTTGTTTAAATCAAATGTTGTTTAAATTAAATCTTTCAGACTATCTTAAAACTAAAGGCTGTGTTTCTTATGTGTGCATTGTGTCACCATGGTAACTGCTGAACATTTCGCCACAGACATACATGTAGAACCAGCGCCAGGGTTAACAAAATGAATAATTGAGTTTTAATTTGGATCCGGTGTTGTAACCTGGTATGAAATGGGTTGTGCTCACATGACATCACATTCTTAAGTGCTGTATGACTGGTCCAAGGACAACGTTCAACACAATGCAGCAGCGATACAACTTGATAAACTGGTCTATGATATTATTTTATATGTGGTGCTGTGGCTTAGTGGTTAAAGCGCCTGTCTAGTAAACAGGAGATCCTGGGTTCAACTCCCAGCAGCGCCTGCTTATTGCAGTTATTTGAAAAAAAAGACAAATGATCCACTACGTAACTTTTCTTCTAGATGGTCTGCCACCTGCTTGTCTTTATTGAAATGTTATTATCCTGTTTGCAATGTTACGCAATATAACAATGAACTCATCAGTCCCCATGAAGACAAGCAAGTGACATGGCCAGGACAAGTTACACATCAGATCTGTGGAGAGGTGAGCTATTCAATCACAGCATGTGATCCCGCTCTCAACATAAACATCACAGGTTGAGTGGTCAAATCCACTGACCCACAGGCTGGCTGGTGTGATTCCAGCTCCCACAGATGAATGCTGTCGTTGTGTCCTTGGGCAAGACACTTAACCTACCTCGCCCCCAGTGTCTGCGTACACTAGTGTATGAATGTGTGTGTGTGTGAGTGGGTGAGTGGTTCCTTGTTGTAAAGAGCTTTGAGAGTCTTGAAGGTGGAAAGGCACTATATAAAAATGTGACCGTTAATATTACCATAAAAACACACTGAATTGAATAAATGTAAGATGAAAAAGTTCAAGGCCATTCCAGACAAAGCAAAGGTATCTCCATGAAAATGAGCAAGGGGCAACCATCCAGAAAAGTTACAATGTGCAGTTTTAAAATGAATCAAAACAAGGACATTGGACAATAATAAGAACACGATCTAATGGAAACGAAAAGGCACTGTTCTTCTGTATCTGTATCAGTAGAAACATGCTCTCTCTTTGGAAGTCTTGCATTCATTAATCAGTATATATGTGAAAAAAGTGCCATAAAATAATACATAAAAATAAGGCCTTATCCAACAAAACCAAAAATATTCAAAATCCACATTATCTGTGTAATCCCTCAGTTGTTCAGGTATGATCCACATGAAAAATTCTGTTCTGTCAACTGGACAAAGGTTTAGAGTGAAGACATTTCTCTGCTCATCCAAGCGACTTCTTCAGTTCTGGTCAGATTGCTAGTGAATTTTATAGAATTTTTCTTTTGCTACAAAGCCCACATCGCTCATTGTAGCAAGACTGAACCTATTTCCATCCACGATTTATCGTTGAAATAACTGAATGCATGAGAAATGAATTGAACAGATTTGAAATAACTGTAAAATACTTATTCTGTGTACCTGACAATCTTAACCCTTTTACCATCTTATCCTTATTCTAAGAAACACCTGCGAGGCCAACCCACACTACAAAGGACTTGATTGGCTCTTCACAGTAATAACATAACAATATACAAACTTAAGAGGTAGATTTGTTTGTGTGACTCATGTTTGTGACGTCACAACAGCATGGATCACAACGCAACCTGATAAACTCGTCATTAAAAAATATTGACATATGGTGCTGTGGCTTAGTTGGTTAAAGCGCCTGTCTAGTAAACAGGAGATCCTGGGTTCGACTCCCAGCAGCGCCTATTTTGTATTAATTAGATGCACAATAAGACAATGAACATATCCATCTCCATAGAGACAAGCAAATGACATGGCCAGGATACGTACAGGTCAGAGCTGCGCGTGGTATGCGTGGAAGTATTTCTGTTATCAATAAAAAATACATGGACTTGTATAAATGCAAGATAGAAATGTTCAAGGCCATGGAGAGGAACATTCCAGTTACATATTGCAGCTCGAAAAAATGAATCAAAACAAGCACAATGGACAATAATAAGAACATGATGTAACAGAAGTTAAAAGGCATTGTGGTGTATTCTGTATGTTCTGCATCTGTAAGACATGCTCTTTCTTTGGATGTCTTGTTTGAATGATTAGAACATGTGTGAACAAAGTGCAATAAAAATAACACAAATGAATAAGGCAGTATCTCATTGCAACAAAAAGATAACATTTTTGAAACGCATGTAAACCAAGAATGAATGAAAAATGGATGGAGCTGATTTGAAGTAACCTTAAAATACTTATTCTACTTTACTGACAGTCTTAATGTTTTTACCATTTTATAATGCTGTATCCTCATCAAAAACACAAAAAAATCTCCCTCTCCTCTTTGTTTTACAGTCCAGATATCTTCCTTTTAACCTGATTACATCTGGTTACATAACATCAACATTTACGGTTTTATTCTTAAGTCATTAATATTATTTGGTTCCAGTCCTTTGTAGCACTCCTCCCTGCACTGCCACCTTAACGCGATGGATGGGTGTGAGCACCTGAGAGCCTATGTTGTCAGGGGCTTCATGCCTCTGGTAGGGTCACCCATGGCAAACGAACAGCCCAGAAGCTCCTTGGAGTAGAGCCGCTGCTCCCCCACTTGGAGAGGAACAGCTGAAGGGAGGGCATCTGTTCTGAATGCCTCCTGGACCCCTCCCTGGGGAGGTGTTCCACCAGGTGGAGGCTCAAGGGAAGACCCAAGACACACTGATGGGACTATGTCTCTCGACTGGCGTGGGAACGCCTTGGGGTCCCACCAGGGAAGCTGAAAGAAGGTCTGGAATGGGGGAAGTCTGGGAGTCCCTGCTCAGACTGTTGCTCCCGCATTCCGCATAAAAATGACGAAAATGGATGACAGCTTAATGCTACCTGCTGCTAAGGAATATTTGTGAGGCAGACTTCCACTGAGACACGATTTGATTGGCTCTTGACTGTAATAATACAACAATATACATACATAAGAGGTATGTGTATTTGTATGACTCACAATCACAGTACAGGTCACAATACAATGTGATAAACTGGTCATTTGGTCATTGAAAAAAAAAAAAATAATAATATATATATATGTGTCTATATATCTATCTCTCTCTCTCTCTCTCTCTCTCTCTCTCTCTCTCTCTCATCTCATATATATATATATATATATATATATATATATATATATATATATATATATATATATATATATCAAAGATTGTTTCCCCAGTATGTGTAATTCTAAAAAATAAAGACCTTAAATGGTGATTAACAGGCAAGACAAGCCTTTCAAAGCCCATGTATGATGGTGAGCTCCTACTATACATGCCCTGGGACAGACTGATGGAAGTGAGGCTGCCATTCTGACCCCTCAGACCACCAATCAAGACTGAAAATGGACAAATGTACTCCTTTACACTCTGGTTCTAATTGACTTCTGTTGAAAAATGGTCGCTTCCTTCTCTGTAACTGCTGCTGTTGCACTCCTCATTCTGACCTTAATATGTTTGTTTTAACCCACTCTACATGATCTTGGAGATGATGTTTTGATATTCTGTCCCTGAATCAAGATAGAAACTTTACTAATATCCCAATTAGGTGCCTTCTTTCCCCAGGGTTTCTGCCAGTAGCATTAGCAACAGATGACTGACAGCATTAGTAGGTGCCTGCCAACTCCCAAAAAGAGGTGCAGGCGGGAAAAGAAGAGTACTACATTGCTCAGATTTCGACTTTGAATATGGTCCCTGATTGCAGATTAGCCACTGTATATGGTCCCAGATTGCACATTAGCCGCTATAACTGCAAGACTCAATCGACTTCATTTGGTTACAATACAGACACAGTGACAGTGTACGCTAGTCTTAGTAGGGATTGAACCTTTAATCTTCAGAATGGAGAGCAAACGCTCTACTGAGCCGCTACCAGTTGGAAAAGTAAGACACACCCATATCACTCCGTCTGGTCACGGGAGAATGAATACGATAACATGACATTCCATCACACTGTTAAACAACGTGAAGTTTCGATGCTATCTATGCTTTGTCTGGCTTAGTGTTAACCTTGAATTAAATCGTGCTTGTTTACAGGTTTCAACACATTTGCTATTCCATTTTTGATTCATTCTTAAAGGTGCATTGTGTAACTTTTTGAGTGGAAGGTCTGTCAAACACTTTTCTCCTTTAAGATGTTGTTGCTTGATTTGGAATGTTCCACAGTATGGCATTAAACTAACCAGCTATCTTCATGGAGACCAAACCACACCAAGTTACAGATCTGTGGAGAGGCGACCCCGCTCACAGTCAGAATGCCTTTTTTGATTCTTTGTATTTTTGAGCTATAAAACCACCTGTAATTGAATAAATGTAAGGTAGAGCTGTTTAATGTCACACTGTGGAACATTTCAGGCAGAGCAATGACATCTCCATAGAAACAAATAGGTTATGGACCCCCAACCAAAAAGCTACACAATGCACCTTTAAACTGGACATATTATGTACGTAAAATCTACTTTTATGTAATAACAGTGTTCTCACATCATTAGTTAACTCACAGTTGTAGTTTGGTTCATGTATTATGAAACTGTTCTAGACTAGAGTAAGATGTTCTAGAATAGATATTACTGTATAGAATGTAAAATCATGATCTGATTTGTTATAGTTTCATATTATATAAAGTATAATATATCTGCTTTAAAGGTCCTATATTACGCAGAACTGAATCTTGTTATCTTTAAGACATGTTATAATGTTGTTACCCCATAAAAGACATTCATTCCCACATGTCTGAGTAACCATCAGTTTGTCTACGTCTCCAAAGCTCAACATACTCTGTTCCACCTTGTGACGTCATGAAGTGGTAGTTTTGAAGTTAGTAGCTACATTTTACCTTTTGTTGAATACAGATTTGCAATTCCAGGGCTGAAATTATCCAAATGATTCAAGTGAAGGTGTATGGAGTTTTAAAACACAGCGGAGCACTTCCTGTATTACTCCATGACATCATAAGGTGGAATGTTTTCCCTATATATGCAGGATGTCTGAGTTAAATATGTCTGAATGAAACAAAACACAACTCCAGGTTTGTTTGAGATGAGGAAACAGTATAACATAGATGCAGTGTATATGGGCCTTTTAAGTTGAAAATGGAGCCAGTGTCTTCTCTCAGCTCTGATAAGGTCACTCATGACATGACTAAGTAGAACATTTCCTTCATCAGTCTCAGAGTCTGTATTTACCAGTGTCACAAACTGGTTCCAGAACCCTCTCTCCTTTGTTTTTTGTTGTGATGGCCTGTCTCTTATTTGTCCTGCGGCAGCCTGTGATTGCTCCACCATTCAGTCTAAGTGCTGTCTCCTCTGGCCTGTCTGGTACAGCTGATGTGGGGCTGTCATAACTGCTGCTCACTCATCTGTCTGAACTAAGCTACGATTTGAGCATTTCAGGTGCCAAAGGAAAGTTTATGACAGGTTTTCAAGTTGTTGTTTTTTTTTCCTCAAATAATTACTTTACATCAAGGAACCACTCAGTCATTCACACACACACACACACACACACACACTCATACACCAGGGCATGCAAGCACTAGGAGTTAAGTGTTTTTCCCAAGAAAACAACAGCAGTATTTATCTGTGGAAGCTGGCATTGCACTGGTAGGTCAGCGGATCTGACCACTCTACCAATGATGGTTACATGGATCAGCCTGGACTCCCTGTACTTAAAACAGTTACGGCGGATGTCATAAAGTAATGCAAAAGACGTGCAGTGAAAATTCTGAGTTTCTTTCTGGCCAGAGGTATTTGGTCCCAAAATCTAAAACAAATTGTTAAAAAGAGCTTCATTTCAGTTGCTAGTCCACTAATGAAGAAGTTGTAATCTATTACTTTATTGATTGTATTACTTTGTCTTGCTGATTCCTTTTTTTTCTATTATCTAAGTTATCCAACTAGAGAAATTAAATCTTAAAGGAGCTGGGTGCAAAATTTTGATTTTAAATTTGTTAAACTAGACCTTGGCTCTCTCTGATGTGAATGGTCACCACCTAAACCCCAGCACTTGCAGTCAGTCATGAGTCAGTGCTAGTGCAGCCTCTGCAGCTCAATGAGGGAATTCTGGAGGTTTTGAGATTTCACATGAAGCATGGCCTGTCCATATACTGAGAATGAGACAAACTTAGGCATAAACAGAAAATGAGCAGTGCAGAAAAAACACTGGTGACAAATATACCGATATCTAGGAAACCGTCAGATAATACCAATATCAAACCATCCCTCAATAAACAATGTTACAATACGATTTAAAAAGCATAGTCTGAGCACACACCTCCCGATCTCCTTGTGCACCACGTAGTAGTCCGTCAGGCGTCTCATCTTGCGGAGGATGGAGCCCTCGTCCTCCACAGTCTCTGGCTCATCTCTCCGCTCTACAGCACACAGAATAGGCACGTTAAGCATGGTTAGTGTGTGTGTGTCTGTGTGTGTGTGTGTGTGTCAGTTACATCTGTACAATTAGTCGGGTTTTAACCGAGATTTTGTCACTTCTAATGGTCAATGATAGGCTGGGGCAAAGTAAAAAACTGTGGTTTGGAGCAGATGGAAGACTTTGGGGGACATAGTTTGTAAATTATTTGTGCAAAATAGAAATTAAAGCAGCACACTACCTGATTATCATACAATGAAATGCTTTATACAGACAGTACATGGCAGAATTATTTTGACCTTAAAAGCTGCTTATCCCTCATGATCTCCTCGGGGTCACCTTGACCCAACGAAAATTATGTTTTCCTTCCCGCTCTCTTGGGGGCGGGTCAATCAGACCCAAAAATGTATTTTCAAATTAATTCTCGCCATGCAAGAAAATAAATTTTTTTGTCTGATTGACCCACCCCAAGAAAGCGGGAAGGAAAAAAAAAAATCTTTGGGTTAATGTGACCCAGAGTAGAGCGTTTATACAATGTGTCAGTAGAAAGGCAAGACAGTGACTAGCATTTGTGCAGAGGCGTGTTACTGACCAGTGTGCACAGTGAGCTGGGCCTTGCAGGAGTTGGATCCCCCCAGGTTCTTGGCGGTGCAGGTGTAGACTCCGGAGTGATCGGGCTGAGCGTTCAGGACCACCAGGGAGTACTCAGGGTCATCGTACACAAAGGTGAAGTGACTGCTCTCAGACAGAAGATCATCATCCTGGAACATGACAAGACAATTACAGATGGTATTTTAAAACTTACATCTAAACATACAGGTTCACATTCTATAGTGCAGTAGGCATAATAGATCAGCATTATTGCCTGCATTTGGACCTAGAATCATTCACCTCTAGTCATGAGTTTTGTTTAATGACCGAAAGAACAAGATCACGGATATAAGGCATAGGATGAGGAGCTCGGTTATATGTTAGGAGAGGAGAAGCTGAGGAGGATTGGGGACTAAAGTGTTAGGACTAACCCTTGAAAGAGCTGAAGGAAGTATGTGTGGAAAAGGAAGTGGAAGAAGATGGATGGATGATAATATATCAGTACAATCACTGCAGTTTTCAAAAATAATTCTAAAAGGTGATAAATTTAACAATTTGTTGGTTAAAACCTAGTATGTGCCTCGTCTCTCGGGGTCCCACCAGAGGAGCTAGAGGAAATGTCTGGGTGAGGGAATTCTGTGAGTCCCTGCTCAGACTCCTGCCCCACAACCTGGATAAAGAGGAAGAAAATGGATAGATGGGCCTTACTACACTACTACTTACTAACAGCTGAATGCTACCTGCCGCTCAGAAATATATGTGAGGTCGATCTACACTGGGACAGGATTTGATTGGCTCTTCACTGTAACAACAGCACACTATACAAACACAGTAAGAGGTATGTCCTTGTATGACTCATGTTTATGACAGAACAATAGCCGGATCAAAAATATAACTTGATAAACTGGTCACTGGAATATAATAACATGTGGTGCTGTGGCTTAGTTGGTTAAAGCGCCTGTCTAGTAAACAGGAGATCCTGGGTTCGACTCCCAGCAGTGCCTATTTTAGTTTCCACGGGGTGCAGGAGACTATTCTTAAGGCGCTGAGAGGGGAGACAGCCTTCCCCAGTATGTGTAATTACCAAAAAATAATTTACTTTATGCTTAACAGGGAAGACAAGCCTCTCAAAGCAATGGTGGTGGTAATACATGTTGTTGGTGGTAAGCTGCTAGTATAGCCATACATGCCCTGGGGCAGACAGACCGATGTGAGGCTGCCAATCTGCACCATCGACCCCTCAGACCACCAATCACCTGTCACACCACAGACGGTAAACGGACAAATGAACTTCTTTGAGCTCTGGTTCCAATTGACTTCTATTGGAAAAATGCTGCCTCTTTCTCTGTAACAGCTTTTTGGGTAATGACCGAAAGAACAAAATGGGAAGAGCTCAGAGTAGAGCCGCTGCTCCTCCACATTAAGAGGAGCAGCTGAGGTGGGTCTCAGCTGACTGGGGAACACCGTGGGATCTCCTCTGAAGAGCTGAAGGAAGTATGTGTGGAAAAGGAAGTGGAAGAAGATGAATGGGTGGTAAAAATCAATACAATCACTGCAAAAGGTACCCTATTTAACCATTTTGGTGGTTAAAAATGTCACTGCTTTGCCTTGAAGGTTCCACAGTATGGCATTACACTCATCTATCAGCAGTTATTCAATTACAGGTGAAAAACACCTTGAAAGACATATGTTCTTGATAAGTTTGATGCCATACTGGAAAACATTCCAGGAAAACATCTTCATGACCAGGTATTGGACCGTGCACCAGAAAAGCTACACAGTGTGCTTTAAAATAAGCCTGGACAAACAGTAATATAGTTCTTTTATTGGTCCCACCTTAAACCACAGAATGTCCGGGTCTGGTTTCCCCTCCACCACCACAGCCAGACGAGAAGTTTCCCCAACGCTCACGTCCACGTCCTCCATGATGCTTTCAAACTTTGGCGGGACTAAAAAAAGAAGGCAAACTTTACTTTAAACTGTTTGACCTGACAGCAGTGACATTTGCAGGAGAAGTGGAGCTCTCCTGGCAGTAAACATGCGCCTGTGTGAATCCTAAATGCGGCGCTCTGACCTGCTAAAGCGAGCTGGAGAGTGGCCATGTCGCTGCCGTGCTGGTTGGTTGCCATGACGATAAGCTGGCCCACGTCTGCGGAGCGGATGCGGAGGAGGCGGAGCATGTGCTGGTCGTCGTCGGGCATGGAGAGCTCGCACACGCCCGGGCGGTGGACCAAAGCTGTACCTCGTCTGGACCAAACCACACACACATCAGATCATATTCAACACAGGTTTAATGAACACTGTGGATGAATTTAAAGGAGACACAAAACATTTTTAACCCGTTTTCCTTAAATCCACTTCAGTCTAAATATTATAATATAAAGGTGTTAAAGCTGCAATGTGTTTCAGTTTGTGGCATTATTTTAATATTTCTTGTGCCTCAAATTTGCATTGAGAAAAAAAAAAACTCTTTATAAACAGAAGTGTATTAACAACCTCTCTAAACCATTCCCCCACAACTCACTGTCCACAGTCTAATCTTTAAGTATTTACTTATTTTTAGTATTTTTCATTCAGCTTTCAGTATTTTTGGCGCAACTAGCCAAAAAAATTGAAAATTGGAATTGGACAGGAAATAGTGAGACTAACAGTGAGCTAGCCGGGTGCTGTTGTACAAAGAGCTTATTGTTATTGCCTCGAATCTTCCACAGTACTGAAATAATTATCTCCATTATTTCCATGGAGACAAGCAAGTGACACCACCAGGCCAAGTTACAGGTCAGATGTGTGGAAAGGCAACCCTGCTCAGAGAAAAAATGCATATTTAATGTTTTTCAAAGTATTTTTGAGCGATTAAAGCACCTGTGATTAAATAATTGCAAGATAGATATGTTTAATGTCAGTGTGGAACATCCCAGGCAAAGCAGTCACAAGCAGGTGAATGAAACAAAAGTGCTTGAGGTATTTTTTGCAACAGTTTAAAGTGGAAATTTCAAACATTTCAAACAGAGCAATTAAACTATATTGCATGTATAGCACCTGGAGGACTAAACAAAATAGTCAGGGTTTAGGCATATGAGGTGTGACTGGTCTAACAGGTATCCACACCTCAAACTGCACCCCTATGTTTGTGATCAGAAAACACCTGCCAGTCCTGCGTTATGTCACATAGTACTTGAAATGATGTATGTCCCTTTTACAGCCGTAGACAGACCTCTTCCAGGTGACGGTGGCGTGGACGTGGTTGAGTTGGATGGTTATGCTGGCGGGCTGGTTCTCCACCACGTACACTACATCAGGTTTGTCCACGATCACCGGAGCTTTCCTCAGATACGGTCCTGTAGAGAGTCACATTTGGAATTCGTTTTTGCTACTTCAATAAAAAATGTTTTGCTTTTGTTATTATATTGTAATGCGTTCTTTAAAAATGAATTGTTCTGGGGTCAAAAATAAAAATAAAATAAAAATACATTTAAATTGCATTGAATTTAACATTAGATTAAAAATAAAAATATAGGTTCATACTAGGCAAGCTACTTTATTTATATAGCACTATTAAAAACATTAGAGTTGTACCAAAGTGCTTCACAGACATAAAAGCACAACATAATAAAATGCAGTACAACGATATAAAAACAAGAAGCAGACATTTGTAAAATAGCAGCTTGTTAAACGCAGATCACAGAGGTGAGTCTTTAATAGAGTTTTAAAATGGTTAATGGATGTGGTAGTCTTTACTCGGATCAGGAGATCATTCCAAAGTTTTGGGGCTGTGATAGCGAAGCAGAGAAGACGGGATTGAGTAAGTGCCTCTAATAACATTACTTATTTTTTGTTTTTCATTATTTCTCAGGGAGGACGGAAGAGTCAAGATGGAAACCAAGATTTCTGACTGATCTACTGTATGAAGGATGACAGACAATGTGCCAAGAGTATCTGTAATAAGATTTGTGTGGGCCCCAAATAAAATAACCTCTGTTTGAGTTCGTTTAGCTGTAGGAAATAATTTGACAGCCAACATTTGACTTCTTCTAAGCATTTCTGAAGATTTGTTATAGGGGAACTGTCTCACACAAACTGGTAAATACAGCTGAGAGTCATGAGCGTACAGATGATATTAGACGTTATGTTTCTGGAGGATGGATTCAAGGGGGCGTGTATACAGAGAGAATAAAAGAGGGGCAAAAATGGATCCCTGGGGAACACCGCATGTGATGGGAGCAGGTGAGGGTGCACAGAATTGCTCACTTTGGCTGAAAAAAGCTGCTATTTAAGTAAGAGAAAAACCACTTTAGAATTGTCTTGCAGATGATTAAAAAGCACTTCCTGATCGATGATGTTAAATGCGGAAGTGAGATGGAGTAGAATGAGAACAGCTGCGGAGCCAGAGCCAGAGCCAGAGGGGCCAGACTGGAATTTGTCTGAGATATCTGAAGGGAGACCACTTTTTCTAAGAGTTTAAGTGTAATAGCAGCTGCATATTGAGAATTTACCATTTTAATTTTTTCTCTGTGTTATTAGAGTATATTGTGATGTGTGAGCTACTGTGTCCAAATAATTTCCTTTGTGGATCAATAAAGTCTAAGTTTAAGTCTAATAATTATGTAGGCTGGTCATCTAAGGGAAAATTTAAATTAAACACAAACCGCCACTTAACTGATGTAAAACTATGCTAAATATTCACCACAGGTATGATCCCACCAGACCAAGGCATACTTAGAAAAACTTGAAAACTTTTCATATGCACTTTAAAAGGTGCATTGTGTAACCTTCCAGGTAGAAGAAATAAACATTAAAATGAAAAAATACATGAAAAAAAAAACCCCAAAAAACCCCATTAAAATTAAAATTTAAATCTCTGTACCTCTGTCCAGCAGTGTGACCAGGTCTGTGGAGGGGGAGGGTTTGCTGAGTGTCTTGCCCGTGGAGGAGAGCACTCTGAAGGCGTAGCGCACCCCTTTGGACAGGCCTGTGATGGTGTAGCTGTTCTCCTTCAGGTTGGACGCCACCACGCTCCACTGGATAGAGCCCAGAGGCTGCTGCTGCACCACATACAGCAAAGAGCCCAAATCTGTGCAACAAGAGGTCACATAGAAAAAATTGAAGTGCATATAAGGTGCAGGTTAGAGTACTTATTTCATTAAAAACAACAACAACATTTTAAAAAAATTTGTGAAGTTTATAATTTTTCTTCAAACTTAGCATGTCCAGAAGTTGCTATAGGTACCATACTTGAGTTGCATTGTCTAACTTCTCTGGTCCATCAAATGCTTTTCTCGATGGAGATGTCAATGGTTTGTCTGGAATGTTCCACAGTATGACATTAAACAGATTTAACTTACGTTTATTCAATTACAGGTAGTTTTATAGCTCAAAAATATCTAGAAAAACAGGCATGCTGGCTGTGCGTGGGGTTGCCTCTTTGCAGATCTGACCTGTAACCTGGTCTGGATTGGGCTCCATGAAGATAAAAAAGGTTTAACATTCCAGACAACACAATAACAAGTCCATGGAGAAAATAATTTGACAGATCCTCCACCAGAAAAGTTCACACTGCAACTTTAAGACAAACCTCACTTTTGAGATTTGTTTGATCAAATTTACTCTTGGAATAACTTCTTTATTTATTTAAAGTATTTAAGCGTTAGTAAATGGTAGAAAATAGAGTTGAGCTGATTTAAGTCTGACGTCAGCAAAACGACTAACTTTAATGGTTATGATATAGTCAAATACAGTCAAATGTTTTTGTTTCTATTAAAATAATACTTGTGGTTACCGTAAAAATAACATAATATACATGGTAAAATGCCATATCGAGTGCCAAATCGAGCAAACACAAGCAACAAATTTGACAAATGTAGAGGTACCAAGAATTGTTACCAAACAACCAAAACTTGTCTTTTTTACACAATAGCTATGATTAGACTGATGCAAATAAATTACACCTTTTTTGTTAACTGTATGTTTAACTGCTAGAATGTCTTCCTTGTGCGTAAATTGTCTCTGCATTTCGGGAGGAGTTTTCCTTGTTGATGACATAGATAGACGGATTTTGTCTAAGAACTCAGACCTACTTCCTGTATTTTTGCACTTTTCCTCTCAGCTTTTTCCTAACTTTCACTTAACTGATGTAAAACTATGACAAATATTCACCACAGGTACTATCCACGCCAAGTCATCCAAATCAGAATTAGAAAAACATGAAAACCTGTCATACACACTTTAAAGGTGCACTGTGTAACTTTTCTGCCGGTCTCCATGGAGATGGTATTACTTTGTCTGAAATGTTTCACAGTGAGGCATTAAACTTATTCATCATCCATTTGTTTAAATATGTGTGTTTTTATTGCTCAAAGAAAATGCACAGTACAACTACAGTGCGTGGGCTCTCCTCTCCACAGACCTGACCTGTATCTTGGTCTAATGGCATCTCCTGCTTGTTTCCATGGAGATAGTTTAAGTTTAATAAAATACTGTGAAACATTACATCATCATGGAGACAAAAATACCAAAAATGTAGGCAGACGCAACACCAAAATAGTTCCATAGTGCAGCTGTAACTGCACTGTTTTGTTCAGATGGGTAAAATAGGATGACATAACTGCTAAGCAGAGGAAAAGTAAGCGTGTGAGCTGTTGACATTTAGCAGGTGACAGTGAACGGGAGCCTCTCTGATGTCTGACGCAAATGCCAGACGGTTCATGTGTCCTGAGGGGACCTGCCAGAGCGCCGTATGGCCCCAGCTGCATTTCATGACACTATGATATAGGCAATATTATTCTATAGAGCACACATATGTGACAATTATAGGAACTGTGTGTAGTCTACGCTCTTAAAAAGGTTTTACAATCACATATGAATCTAGGTTGCCAGAGCCTTAAAAGTACACTGTGTAACTTTTAGGTTAGGATTATGTCAACTGCTTGTTTCTGTGGGTATGTCATTGCTCTACCTGGAATGTTCCACAGTATGACATTAAACAGCTCTATGCTACTTTTATTAAATTACAGGTGGTTTTATAGTCTGTAACTTGATCTGGTTTGGTCTCCATGAAGACAGAAAGGTACTGTGAAACACTCCAGACAAAGTAATAATATCTCCATGGAGGAAAGCATTTGAGGGACTCTCCACCAGAAAAGCTACACAGTGCACCTTTACCTGCAGATAGAGGACACTGATTCATGACTGCCTGCAGGTGCTGGGGTTTAGGCAGGGACCCTTCAGATCAGAGAGAGACATTTTAGGTTTAAACCAACTGGATTTCAGTACTGGAAGTGGAATAAATCAGCATTACATTGAGGACACAGACAGGTCATCTTTAGTCCTTTTAAAAACAAAATCTTACATACAGTTCCTGTAAACAAGGGAAAGGAACTGCCCTTTTTGAACATATTTTGGCCAGTAGAGAGACTAAAATAAGTAGATGTTTTCATTACAAATTGTTAAAATCTCAATGTCATTTCTGGGCTCTAAATACAATTAAACAGGCACAACTTTTCTGTCTTCTCTGTCACAGTAAAATCAATAACCATTCTGAGGTTAGGCACCTTTGTCGACACACTTACTAAAAAAGATAATCAGATTCAAAATGAGGTTATTTTTTATCTTTTTTTAAAGGGCCTCACACTTCACCATTTGAGACTGGACATGATCAAACTCTAAATACTGGTATAGCGTATTTCCAACCCAATAGCACTGCACTCTGTGCACAAGTACCCAATGCTGCATCGCTCCTCTTGGGTTTCTTCCAACTCAGGCTGATGGTTTTCCCTGTGATGGACTCTATCTCTGGAGGACCGTCTGGAGGCTCAGGGACGATGTCTGTTTTCAAATACACAAAATACACATACGTGAAACAAAGCAGACTTTGTAACAGTTTAACCGCTAAAAATCTTAAAATGTCTCTTGACACTTACCAGTGACGTAGAGATGAGCGTAGCAAGCGGACTTGCCCACCTTGTTGGCGATAACTGCCTTGTAGACTCCTCCATGGGCGTGACACGCACTCCGAATCACCAGACTGTGCACATCCCTGTCTGAAGAACACACACTACACTCACTCACTGCACTCATGGTCAAGTCTTGTAGACTGACCTTGACTGTGAGTGCCAATTTGACCAACTGACTTTAAAACCGTAGAATGTAACTTTTTTGCCAAAAGCTAAAATAAAAGCATGTTTTTTCATGATGGATGTTTTATTGCACTAAAAATCATCAGCCTCACCTTACTGTGAGAGGACTTGTATGTCTACACACCTGACTCTTACTTGGCCTCCTTTTGCTTGTTTTCATCTTAGTTCTATGGCTATAATATTCCAGAGCATAAGCAGATCTATCTTCATGGAGAATGTGCCAAAGTATGGTTTTAACTTTCTATTTCCATGGACTCATGCCGGTAAAAGTTGCAAACTATCACTTTAATTAATTTTACTTTGGTGTAGCAGAAGTAGTAGCTTTGTCAGCTGTTCACCCTGTGGCTGGCAGTTTGATCCATGCATACTGCCAAGCATGCTGCCATTATGTCATTGGGCAAGACACTCACCTTGCCCCCGTGTCTCTATGAATTTATGAGTGTACATGCGAGAGTGCATGTGTCACTCAATAGATGTATATTGTCTATTGTCAATTTTTGTGCAGGCTGGTTAGATATGTCATAATTTACCAATGGAGTATAAAAAAGTGTACTTAAAATCAGTGTAATCAAAAGGTTACAGTAGTGATCAATTTGTCATCTTCCATACAGAAGCCATTTTACATTGATAGAACTGTCTTAATGCTGAGAATTTATCCTACTCTGACAACTTGGACTAGAGTAACTTAAAGGAGGATAAAATCCCAGTGTTTCAAGCCAGTACCATTAAATGTAAATGGCTTCTGGATCAGAGCCGAAACGTGTTGATTTCCAAAACAGTGTCCAGATGACCACCACTTAAATCGTCTCTACATTGTACTTAAAATAATGAAAATAAAAACTCCACAGTGTAGAAGCTTACAGTGCATCATCTTGCGCTCCTCGCTGCTCTGGATCTGTTTGCTGTTGTGGTACCAGCTGATGGAGGGGTAGGGCAGTCCAGACACAGTGCATTTGAGCACAGCCTCTCTGCCCTCGATCACCTCCACGTCGCTCAGGGGCCTCACGAAGTCCGGCATGGTCCTGCGCTCCACCTCCCCCTCCGCACACTCTGGCTCCTCTGGGATGGATGGCATCTTCTCCAGCTTGGTCCTGTCAATGCAGGAAACATAGAAACATAGAGGGCGACAGTTCAAGAAATATGTGAAAATTTGACTTCAAGAGCTGCTTATACAGTAGATCTGTAATATCAGGTCTCTTTTCCAGATACCAGCCCTACTCCCTCTGAAGTGCATGCTGGTGTCTTACATGTGTGAGGTGAGAGCTGCGCGGGGCTCGGTCATGTACAGCTCTGCAGTACACTCGGCTCTCCCGTGGGGGTTATGGGCGATGGCGGTGTAGAAGCCCTCTGTGTGGCTGCTCACGTGGAGGATGACCAGAGAGTGCCTGCCCCCCTCCTGGAGCACACGGATGTTCTCACTCTCCTCCACTGGGGTCTCTGAAATATAAGAGATGAAGAAGCAACATTATAAACTGGAGGTAGAAAGTCACAAAGTAAATGTAGTAAAGTACTATACTTAATTATACATTTTAGGTACCTGTATTTTACTTAAGTACATTTTAAAACTGTAACTGTAACTGTACTAATTACTCCACACTATTACTGAAGAGGAAAAGTAAAAATATTTTTTATGATAGTTTGAGACCTTAATTGTTACTGTTGAACAAATTCAGCACAAATCTTTATCAAAACAACTACATTTATTAGACCTCAAGTCTGCATGAAATACTTTTTATTCTTTAATACTTTAATACTTTTACTTAAGTAGATTTTTTCATCTGATACTTTTACTTGAGTGTTTTTTTGCCCCAGTATCTGTATACTTACTTAAGTAATAAAATTAAAGTTAATCCAAATTTAAAATTTATCCAAAAGTACTACTGGAACTGGATTACAATTCATATTTTTCAGTATCTCACATATTGAAAAATAAGGGGTAAGATAGAATCTGGCGAAGCCAGTGGTGGAAGAAGTATTTTATAATATTGTTCCTTAAATAAAAGTCCAGATACTCGTATAAAAGTAAAAGTATCACATGAAAAAAAATTTCTTAAGTAAAAGTATCAAAGTACCTGTTTAAAAATGTACTTAAAGAGTAAAAAGTGAAAGCATTTTGTGCAGATTCTGAGAGCCAATGAACTTCAAATGTGGTGATTTTGATACAGATTTGTGCTGAATTTTTTTCATAAATGTTTTTATTTTTATATTTTTGTTTTGTTGTACTTTTTAGTCATGTTCAAAAATGTAGAGATACCTGCTTTCAAATGTAGTGAAGTAAAAGTATCCACTGTAAAATGTACTTAAATACAGTAAAGTACGGATAACAAAAATGTTTACTTTTACTTACTACTTTTACTTTGTTACATTCCACCACTGGTTGATACTGACAAAAGTTTTATGAGTTTTCCTAAGTCTTATAAGAACTATTGTGTATCATTTATCCTGGTGCCCTGGGGCAGACTGACAGAAGCGAGGCTGCCATTACCTGCCAGGCATCAGCTTCAATCACTCACTCACAGAACAATATCACAGGACTCCACAGATTAGATTTTAAAACACAGTCACTGAGAAATGTGTGGATCAAAATGTGAATTTAAGTAAAAAAATAACTGCGTTTGTTGAAAAATACTATTTTTTGTTTTTTTTTAATCAAGTTTTACCATGAAGTAAAGTTAGTAACAATGGGCTCTTTTCATGCTTACATCACAACACTAGAAGACATTTGGAAACATGCGGATGATGACTTCCTTTGAACTTTGGGCTTTCCTTTTATGAATTGCCTATTAGTTTGTGTAATTTTAGTTTAGTTTCATTCACACATGCTTGAATAATCCTTTATTATCAGTCCATCTGCATCTCCAGAACTCAAACTGCTCGGTTCCACCCTGTGAGGTCATGAAGTGGCAATTCCAGGGCTGAAATCATCCTCAAACAAAACAACTCAAACAAAAGACTGGCTTCTATTTTAGACACAAACATTGCTTTTCTTTAAGTGCTAAGAAAAACTGGTGGAAACAACTTTTCTTTCTGTTCTGGACTCCTTGTATATGCAGCTCCATCTTCCACTCTGCACAAACTGGACTGTGTGTATCATGCATCACTGAGGTTTATCGCCAATGCTAATAAGTCTCTCACTCATCACTGCACTCGCTATGGTTTGGTTGGCTGGACATTCCTAACAGTTTGCAGAAAACAGCATTGGATAATATTTATTTACGAAAGCCATATTTAGTAACCTCCTTAATATGAGCTCAAGTAGTTACAGGCTTCTCTCCTCCTCCCAGTTACTCTTCACTGTCCCTCGGTGCCTCACTGAGCTAGAAAATCTGCCTTTTTCTACAGCATGGTCTTGGAATCATTTACAGAAAGATCTTAAATAGGATCTCTGGTGTCACTTGATAACTAAAGAAAATTGTTAAGAGTGTGGAGACTGAGACGTGTATGTTTTTCTTGAGAGATGCAAATGGTTTTATAATGTCATACTTTGTGATTTTGCTGTTTTGTATTGATGGTGTTGCTGCTGTCTCCACCAGGTTTCTGTTGCAAAAGAGATTCTGAATCTCAAATGGGACCTCCTGGTTAAATAAAGGTATAAAAAAATAAAAATCCTAATTATTCTAGTGAAGGTGTACTTAAGAACTCAAGTTTAAATCTACATCTGCAGGGTTTGTTTGTTAAACGTGTGAAAGAAACAAAACTCAGGGCATGTTTAAGATGAGAAAACAACATTATAACCTAGATCAGAAAAATAGCATGATATGGGTGATTTAAACTCCAGTGTCTTATGAGGTGATGTGTTTTTGTGTGCGGTGTACCGAAGTGCCTCCATGAGACCGTAGGGGGAGGCGTTCCGCTGACTTTACAGCTGAACCTGGCTGTGCGCCCCTCCATCACCTCCAGCACATCCAGCCGGCGAGTGAAGAGAGGCTCCCTGGACGGACTGACCTTTAGACGGGCACTGGAGGTCAGCTCCTCTGGACACGGAGGACAGAGAGACAATACAAAAGAAATGTCATGAATTACTTTGACATGATTACACAAGGAAAGTAAAAGGTGCAGTATTTGACCTGCAATGACTGGGTAACATTTTGGCTATTTAAAGGTGCACTGTGTAATTTGAAGGTCCATCAAAAGCATTTCTCTATGGAGGTGTTATTGTTTTGTCTGGAATTTCTCACCGTATAGCATTAAACCTTTCTATCTTTGTGGAGACCAAACCAGACCAAGTTACAGGTCAGATCTGTGGAGAGGCGACCCCGCTTACAGTCAGAATGCCTGTTTTTCTAGGTATTTTTGAGCTATAAAACCACCTGTAACTGAATAAAAGTAAGGTAGTGCTGTTATACTGTGGAACCTTCCAGGCAGAGTAGTGACATATCCATAGAAACAAGCAAGTGACAGGCCCTACACAAGAAAAGTTACACAATGCACCTTTAAAGGGGGGTATTACACATTTATGGGATAGTAACTGCTAACACATCACATATTTAGATCCATTTTATTGTTTTGAAAATGCTATAATCGTCAAAAACATCGTATTAACATGTTTTATTTATTTTTAATTTTGTTCATGATGCTTTGAGCCTCATAACCCTTTGTTCTCCACACTAAGTCATCCCCCCTTCAGAGGGCTATCACAACACAATCAGTGAGCATTCGGCTAATGAAACTACTGCAAATCACATCAGGTTTTTGAATTTGTAGTGTATTGTTTTGTACCATGTTTACGTATATTTATGAAGAATACAGCTAACCATAAGGAGGGTTCAAATAGTGTGGGGGAGATCACCAAATTACTCAAACGGATGACATCAAATGGATGACATCTAAAACCTCAGTTTTTGATTAGGGAACAACATTATAACATAGTAGAAAGCTCCAAAAAGTTGATTTTGCATAATACCCTATTTAAAAATTTAAATACAAACTAAATTCAGTCAAATCTTTTTAGCAAGTAAAGTGATGACTATCTCTTTGCATGTGCCCTTTTTATTAGTTAATTTGAAAGAAATGTAATTAAAAAATAAAGCACCATTAGTTAAGCGTTGTACCTTTAGCCGTGCTCAGTTTGCACATGTAAGTCCCGCTGTCGTCCTCATGCACCGAGTTCAACAGGAGCCGGCACCTAAAATCAAATCAAATAAAACACATACTATCATTGTACAGATTATTATAATTATCCTATTACTTATTACTTTACAGCTGATGTCATTAACAATCCCTGGGGGTGTGATGCTAACTGTAGGCACTGCAAAGTTACACAATGCACCTTTAAGATACTAGTCCCTTGAGTCCCCTAAACATACCTCCTCCCATCAAAGGTCATCTTGCAGTGCAGCAGGGCGGGCTGGATGAGCTTGCCATTGGAGAGCCAGTCCACGTCCACATCGGCGGGACCCGAGACCAGGCACTCAAACATGGCCGACTCCCCTGCCCGCACACACACGTCCTTCACATGCCTCAGGATCTTCAGGGAGGCTGCTGCGCTGGGAGCTGGTACACGCACAGATTGTAGATGTGTTAGATGGATGGATTTTTGTAGCATGTTATTATTGTATGCTTGTGTCTCTGATACAGTTAAAATATTTGTCATGGATCATTATTTTATACTTTGGACATTGAAAACCTCAAATATTCTAAAAAAAGAAAGAAAAATAATCAAGTCCGGAATACTGTGGTGTGTAAAGGTGATGAAAAGTTTGCTGGATTGGTTTTCGACTTCCAAATATCGGTTCAGCAGCAATTCTGGTTGGACATATAATTTGATGTAGTAAGACTATTTACTGGTCATAGCAGGTCCATTAAGTCTCATGTTTGAACTTTTATTTACACAGTTGTTCTGTGGTTCATCACACATTTGGATCAATTTTGTTTTTGACCTATTTTGTTTTTCAGTCTCTAAAACGGTTTTGGATATTGCCAGATATTTAAGGCCATAGTATTGGTATCAGAATCGATATCGGAACTGAAAAAGCCGGATTGGTGCACCCCTACAGGAGAATAAAAATGACTTTAAACATGCATGAAGCACTCCCCACACAACTTCTACAGGTTAAAAGGGAAAGAAACAGCTATAACAAAACTCAAGTCTATGTCACATAATATGTCTCCTTTAAATACATTTGGATGCCCCCTGCTGGAAACAGTGGGTAATGAAACAGTTTGAAATGTAAAATTAGCAGCGTGGTTAATGTGGCAAATAGAAGCTTTGTATTGAATGCAATTTCTGGTGTTGAAAAACAAGATACGGATTGCTTACTTTAAATTGTTTAAAAAATTGTGAAAATGATTTGGCTGTTGATAATTACCTCAACTTAACTTATTCAATTTTTCATGCCAGGGCAAAGAATTCCAAGTAAGTTTGTGAAAAAAACAGCTCTAATATAATTTCACAAAGCATCCAGAGAAGCACGCTGACTATGGTTTACCGTTGATATCCACTTTACACTGGGCCTGTTTGATCCCGTGTTCATTGATGATCTTACACACATAGGTCCCTGCATCAGACTGCTGAGCTGCTGTGATCCTCATCTCGATAGCGCCCTCTTCAGTCTGCGTGAGGGAGTAGCGGCCGGACGTGGTGATGCTGGCTCTGTCCTTGGACCTGGTAGAGTCGACAGAAGAATGGTCAGACTGAAACATTATGGGAGGGACTTGTGTGTGTGGTGTGGAGCGGCGCGTCTCACCAGTGGACCATGGGAGGGGGCTGGCCTCGCACTCTGGCGCTGATAACGGCATTGTTGCCCTCAGTTATGGAGATGTCGCTGGGTGCTACCTGTAGGTAGACAAGAGCATAAGGTCAATCCATGTAAAAATCTACCAACTTCATAAAGATAAGTCATGCTTTATTATCTTGTCCTGACACTTTTTAAAAAACATTTACAATAAAAAAGAAAGCCTGCTAGACCCACCATGTTCCACAGTATGGCATTACATTTATCTATCTCCATGGAGACAAGTAAGAGATGTTATGAGTCCAAGTTACAGGTTAGATCTGTGGAGAGGTGACCCCACTCGCAGTAAGAAGGCATATATGTAGATGTACTTTTGAGCAATAATATACCCTGTAGTTACAGTATGGTATTAAACATATCTATCTTTCCTTTATTCAGTTCCTTGACAACATGCATTTAAACTGTGAGTTGGCTAGCCTCTCCACAGATCTGACCTGCAACATGACCTGATGGAGAGAAAAAGGTTTAATGCCATACTAGGGTTGTCAAAAATATCGAAATTCAGATATCCAAAATAGTATTGAACCTAGATACTCATTTGACTACTACTAAAAAAGTCACATTCAAAGGACAGAACTGAACCTTTAGAACGATCTTGAGCTGTATCAGAACAAGTATAAGAGCACATAGACTAGTATACGCCCATGGACTAATTTGAAACCTACCTGGACCACTGATAAAACCACATGGGAAAAGAAGAGAAAGTACTACCATTTAATGTTGAATATTACATTCTATTGTCTAAAGAAGAGCATTTTTTATTGTCACCGTGATATCAGAATCAGTATCAAGTCTATTCCTTAGTATCGAAATCAAGCTTGAAAATGTTATGCCATACCGTGGAACATTCTAGACAATATCTCAGTGCGTATCCTTCACCACGAAAATTACAGTGTATCTATAATGAGAATTAATGAGAGAACTACTGTATATTTAACTTCCCGGTCAAACGTAATTTCACTGACACTCTTATCTTACAGTTCACGACACATTATGAGACTCGCCTTTGCTTTATTCATCCCAGCCCTGCCAGACCTATTCATCCCTTATTAAAATATAGGGGACTTGGATCTCCTCCCAGTCCGATCTCGCTCCCCTGACAGTAATTCTAACATAACAACAGTGTGTATTAAATTGGACAGTGACCGATCTACACTGGACTGACGTTAATGTTGTTCAGTTAGCATTCACTGACGCTGGTGCTTCTGATTGGCTGTGTCTTTATCCAATTACTACGTATTTGGGTAGCCTCAAAATTTAATATGATATGAATTACTGTAATTAGTTGAACCATTTTTAGGGGGCACATATTCACTATTTTCTGATCTATGTTATAACGTTGTTTCCTCGTCACAAACTTACCACACATGTTTAACACATAAACCCTGCATATTTAGGCTGACTCCTTCTCTCAAACTGAAAACACTCTGTTCCAACTTGAGCTCCACTGTGTTTTTAAACTCCATACACCTTCACTAAAATAACTTGGATGACTTCAGTCCTGGAATTGCCAATCTCTACTGACCCAAAATGACCAAAAAATCAAAATGACATCAAGGTGGAACAGAGTGTTTTGAGTTTTAGAGATGAAGACAGACTAATAATAAAAGATTAGTCAAACTTGTGTGAATGAAACAAAACATAACTCAACTCCAGGTATGTTTTGGAGCATCTAACAGCACTATAACATGACCTAAAGCTCACAAGAGTCAAATTTTTGCAATACTGGATCCTCAAAGTCCTAAATACTAAAACTGGTATCGAAACTAGATAATCAATTGAGCAGGTATCAAGGACAGAAATAAACCTTTCCTGAATATCTTTACTTAGTATCACAACAAGTATAAGAACACATAGACTAGTATACGCCCATGGACCACCTGGACCACTGAGGGATAACACAGTTATATGACCACATGTCCTAAAGAAAAAAGTAAGGTACTACCATTTAAAGTTTAAAATCACATTCTTTTGTCTAAACATAGAGTAAAGGGTACTGAAATCGAGAAATGTTAGTATCGTGACAGCAGTACCTGGAAGTGAGGTGGCTCTTTGAATTTCACTCTCTTGATGGGGGCTGTGGATGGCGTGACCTCCATGGGCTCCTCCTGGGGGCTCAGGTACTCCTCGTCGGACCCTACCCCAATCCCGGCGCTCCCACGATGCATGTGGGTGGCCTCTGAAAGCACAGGGGATAATTTACAATGAAATTTTGTACTTTAAATGAAAACGTAAATTGTCTGTAATGCAGCACTGGATGTCCTCAAGGTTGTGTACTTTCCCCCTTGCTTTTCTCTTCTCCAAAATCTAATAATGTATAGATCTGTTTATTTATTTTTAATACATTTTATCCTTTCTCGCATGACTGTTATTATAAGATTATATTATTAGATGATGATAAATTTTTTCACTAATCACCAGGGCACAATCATGATTAAAACTTAAAGGTGCAATGTGTAACTTTTCTGGTGAAAGGTCCGTCACCTGCTAGACTCCAGGAAAGTGATTGCTTTGCTTTGAATGCTCCACAGGATGTCATTAAATGTATTAATCTCAGAGAAAAAACAAAAAAAACCCAACTTTCACTGATTTTGAATATTAGGTTGCTCCAACAAATGGTACTGTCTGGATCTAATTATAAAGCTTTTTTATGTCTGATAATCAAGAAGGCGCTGCTAGCATGCCCAATTATAAACAGTACACATTTAAATAATTGCTATTTTATACAAATAATAGTCAAATTTCTTCCTCTTAAGTCTTCCGTCTGCTCCAAACCACACGCTTTTATTATAGACTATAAAGAAAAGAACTGAGCGAGTTTGACATCATCCATAGCGTTTAGCTCCAGTCAAATGAAGCTCATTGAGGCTGGCAGATATAGGAACTAAATTGGAGCAAGTTCCATATTAAACAATAAAACAACAAACATTTAAAGACCAAAATGACGAGGCTCACAGCAGCAGTTACAGAGAGAGGGGGAACAATTTGTCAATGTAAAGTCAATTGGAGCCAAGTCGATGAAGCCGGAAGCGCCCTCATGTTCACTTCAAGTTAGCTATGTCCATTTATATATATAGTCTGCGGCTTTTACTGACAGAGAATTGGCTGTAGATCTCTTCTCACTAAAAACCCAAGCTAATTATTGACAATTCGAAATCTCAATCTTGATGAAGTCTGGACTAATTGCACTGCTACAGACTACACTGTTTAATAGCTACAGAAACCTTTAAAAGCAGCTCCCTCTCCTTCTTCTTTCTCTCCTCCTTCCAGTAAGTCTCTGGATATGCTGGGCCAATCTGCCAGTTCTTATGTAACACTGTGAGATGTTTCATGTGCCTCTTGTATATGGTCCTCCACGGCTCCTGCCCCTGCACACGGTGGATCAATGTGTGCCTACTGTGTTTGGGAGGAGAGAAGAAGAAAGCACTGCAGAGATGCACCATCCATAAAGCCAAGGCTCAGAAAATATAAGTGTTTTTACTGTATTGTACAGTAAATGTGAGGAGTAGTTCAACCATAGAACTAGATTGGGTCTAAAGATATTCTGACTTGAATGTAACAGGACTAAACAAGGACGAAACCAGGACGAAAAAAAGGACTAAACCAGGATTAAACCAGGTCTAAACCAGGACTAAACCAGGACTAAACCAGAACTAAACCAGAACTAAACCAGGTCTAAACCAGGACTAAACCAGGACTAAACCAGGTCTAAACCACATCTAACCCAGATATAAACCAGGAGTAAACCATGTCTAAACCAGGACTAAGACAGAATGAAAGCAAGACTAAATCAGGACAAAACCAGGACTAAAGCAGAACTAAACAAGTACTGAACTAAAACAAAACCTGGACTAAAGCAGAACTTAAGAAGAACTGAACTAGAACAAAATCAGGACTAAACCAGGTCTAAACCAGGTCCAAGCAGGGAGATTTCACATCCTCCCACTTTTCTGGCACACTGAGTTCTCTGTATAAAATAGTCACCTGCAATGACTCATACACCTCCTACCATTTTGGCACTATTCTGTTGACTCATAGTGTAAAAAAATAAATAAAAAGTGAGACTGAAAAGTTGCAGTAATAAAATGGAGAGTAAGATTTGCAAAAGGACACAAAGCAGCCTGCGATTACAAGAGGACAAGAAGAGGGAGGGCTAAAAATACTTGGAGACCACACTGTCCTAATATGGGAAGAGAGGTCCTGCTGTGAGGATACCACCAACACATGACGCCAAAGCTCCCAGCTGGAATTTTGTTTTTGGAAACAGAAATAACAAACAAGTACAGTAAAATAACGTCATCAATTTGTCAAAGGAATAAGAAAAACATTTAGTAGTAGTAGTAAACATTAAGCAATGATTTCAAAGTCATTCTAATATCATTCTAAAGTCATTTCACAATCATTTCATGTTATTCATAAATTATTATAAATTTACTCTTCTTTCCTTGTTTACTTTTATATAAATATGAGTTTCAGAAATTTGAAATTTTAATTTGGCCCCCAATTTTTGTTTTCAATTGAGCAATCCAATTATTTCACTTTTGGGAGGGGCAAATTATGTTCCTAATTTTCAGTTTAATTTTATTTTTTGCAATTACGTGAAGCTCAAATATTAATCCCCTAAGAAATGATATATACAAATATAAAATGGGGACTAAAACTGGACTAAACCAGGACTAGATCAGGACCAAACCAAGCCTGCATAAGGACTAGGGCCAGACTAGGACCAAACAGGACCACACTGTTAAAGCTGTACTCAAGTAAAAGTACAGTTACATAGCTAAAATGTACTCCATTACATGTACAAGTACTGCTGCCAGAAGTAAAAAGTATGAATGAAAAATCCTACTTAATACTATGCTAATACATTTATACAAAACTGGATCAGTTAAAAGGGCTGTAACTGAATTTAGTCATTTTAATAAGCTAAAATTAAAATTAAAGATGCAAGGTCTGTCAAATGCTTTTCTCCATGGAGATGTTACTGCTTTGTCTGAAATGTTTCACAGTATGGCATTAAACATATGGCATTTTATCTTCAAGAAGACCAAACCAAATCAAGCTACAGCTCAGATCTGTGGAGAGGCAACACCAGGCACCATCAGAATGTCTGTTTTTCTAGATATTTCCAAGCTATAAAATCACCTGTAATTGAATAAATGTAAAGTAGAGGTGCTGAATGTCGTACTGTGGAACATTCCAGACAGCGCAATGACATCTCCATAGAAACAAGCAGGTGATGGACCCCCAAACAAAAAGTTACATAGTGCACCTCTGACATTACACGTATAGGTTGAAGCATCGACTCAAAAAAAGTACTGTTACCCCAAAAATACTCAATTAGAGTAACTTGAGTAGTATTTGTATTTAGTTACTTTCCACCCCTGGCTATCTATGACTAAAAGTCACAAAAGTTCGGTTTTCTTCTCCTTGTTCCATTTTAAATAGGCTAATCCCCCATAGCTGGTGCCAGTCTTGCGGTCTAGTGTTCTGAAAGCGCTTTAGGACTGGGGGGCTCTGCTTTGTGTGACGCGGGACATCTGTGCGCTCGGAGCCCCGGAGATGGGACGTGTTGCCATGGTAACTATCGGCCCCCTTTGTAGTTTAGAAGCCGTGGCGTGTGGAGGAGGCTGGCACCAGATTAAACCCACTGACTCAACACCAGGCGGCCCACTGGCATTTCACTTCTCCATCAGATATTTCAACAGAATGTAAAAGTGAAAAATCCTGTATAAAGTACTTCCTTAAAACTACTATTTGTACTATTTGTAATACTGAAACTAGATACTCATTTCAGCAAAAAAAAAACTCTCTAAATCTGCAGGGATTGTGTGTTAAACATGTTTGAATGAAACAAAACACAACTCCAGGAATGTTGGTGATGAGGAAACAACATTAGAACATAGATGGGAAATGGTGTAGTATGGGTCCTGTTGTTTTTCCTTAGTATCGAAATCGACTGCATGATACAGGAGAAAAAAGGGGCTAAAATCTCTTGAAAGTTTAATATTCAAGCCATTTAGAAACAGAGCTGTCATGTTAATATATGCAGCGTATTTGTAGCCATCACAATTCGAGTGCAAAAACTGCTCCAGTGATGATTTATGGACTTCAAAACTGTGCAGGAAACTTCTGGGTTCTGTGAGCTGGGGAAGATTGAACCGGACCGATTTCTGAGACTATAAGAGCAAGAGGACCTTATAAATGGGGTTACTGAAACCAGCGTGAATGAAACAAAACACAACTCCGGGTATGTTTTTGAGGAGGGAACAGTGTTAAAAGGTGGCAAAAAGCTAAAAAAAAAGAAAAAGTTAACTTTGCAAGATGTCTCCCTTTTAAAAATGAACACTATATTTTCTATGAGCAATTTTGAAGTTTGGATAGCTGGCAGGTATAAGTGAAGGTTCCTACATATTTCACAAGGTTCAAATATATACTAATATGTCAGTATTCAAGTGAACATAACATTTTTTGCAAAGCATTCAAAGATCATGAATAAATAAAGACACTGTAGCTGATTCTAATGGCTTAGAAACGTGAAAAACCGAACTAGTTCATTTGAAACAGTTTGTAGTGGTCCAAAGTTATTCCTCACTTACCTTAAGCATTCTGAACATCTTAATTATTCACCATGATGAGTTTATAAGAGCTTTTGTGGTAGATCGAGACATGCACATCCAACAAAAACTGCGACTGCGTGCTGGGTTCAAAGACAAACATTGTACAAAAGAAGAAAGAGATGCTCACTGCAGTTCTTTGAAGCTCACACATTTTTATTTCAGTGACATCACAATGTGATGTTTCAGGTCATTGAAATAAAAATTTGAAAGCTTCAAAGAACTGCAATGCGGATCTCTTTCTTCTTTTCTAAGAGCTTTTCACAACTTTCAGAGACTAGAGCAGAGTTTTGCCATTTTAATGCTAACAACAACTAGCATGCTAACACACACTTCTTGATTATCGGACAATAAAATCCAGACAGCACACAGTGGACTTATTTTAACCTCAAGAGCTGCTTATACAATTCATATATATATATATATATGATATATAAAAAAATTTAGAGATTAAAATTATGATCTGTAATTAATTAATCTAATTAATCTCATTTTAATCTCACCTAAAAATTGCTGAGAAAAGCCTTCAATTTGAGGTATTTTCATTTAAATTCATTATTACATTATTGTGGCAGATCAAAAGACTGATATAGATTTAAAAAAGTGACTTTATAAAGTCATTTATTGTTTAACAAATCTCTCCAAATTGGCTGTTGAGCCCAAGTCTCCATGAATAAGAAACTGTTTGCTGTAAAGTAGCAAAGACGAGGAAATCTGAACATAATAACTTTTGTCTACTTAAAGACAATAAAAAGTCCAGTCTTTCCTTAACCATATTAAAAATATATTGATAGAGAAATGCTTTATATATGAGATCACTGGTTTAGTATCCTGGTTTAGACCTAGTCCTACTTTAGTCCTAGTTT